TTCATTATTTTACAAGCACAGAGAGCCGCATCAGATGGATGGAAGAGCCGCATGCGGCTCCAGAACCTCACGCTCGTTGCGTGAGACTCACGCAAAGTTCAAGTTTTGAACTTTGGCCTTCCATACATCCTGCAGTATTTGACATCATCTCACCGGTTTGAGTTTTAAGGTGGCGATCCATGTCTTTTTGTCCATATTGTGTCTTGAAGGTTGCTTTGTTGCTAAGTTGTTGCTTGTTACTACTGTAAACAGCCTGTTACGAATCCAAAGTTACAAGTTACGAATCCAAAGTTACATGTGATGAAACATGTTCGAAGTTACAAAACGTGGTACAAGTTACGCTGAATATTGTCCCAATCCTAGCTCCATAATGGGCCAAATGTCAGTTCAGAGCACCCACCCTTTTTGGAGTCCCTGGGACGAGTGCTAGATAGTGCTCCATCAGGGGACTCCATTGTCCTGCTGGGGGACTTCAATGCTCACGTGGGCAATGACAGCGTGACCTGGAGGGGTGTGATTGGGAGGAACGGCCCGCCTGATCTGAACTCGAGTGGTGTTTCATTATTGGACTTCTGTGCGAGCTGCAGTTTGGCCATAATGAACACCATGTTCCAACATAAGGATGCCCATCGGTACATTTGGTACCAGGGCAGCCTAGGTCGCAGGTCGATGATAGACTTTGTAGTCGTATCATCTGGCCTGCGGCCGTATGTTTTGGACACCCGAGTGAAGAGAGGAGTGGAGCTGTCAACTGATCACCACCTGGTGGTGAGTTCGATCAGAAGGCAGGGGAAGATGCCGCGTAGACCTTGCAGACCCAAACGCATAGTGAGGGTCTGCTGGGAATGCCTGGCAGAAGAACCTGTCAAGACGGTCTTCAACACCCACCTCCGGCAGAGCTTTGACCGCGTCCCGAGAGCAGTGGGGGACATTGACTCCGAGTGGGCCTTGTTCCCCTCTGCGATTGTTGAGGCAGCTGTTGCTGGCTGTGGTCGCAGGGTGGCCGGTGCCGGTCGTGGTGGCAACCCTCGTGCCCGCTGTTGGACACCGGAGGTTCGGGGAGCCGTCAGGCTGAAGGGGGAGGCCTACAGGGCGTGGCTGGTCTGTGGGTCTCCGGAGGCAGCAGACAGGTGCTGGATAGTCAAGCGGGGTGTAGCAGTGGCAGTTGCTGAGGCAAAATCTCGGGCGTGGGAGGATTTGGGTGAGGCCATGGAGAAAAACTATTGACCGGCTCCAAAGAGGTTCTGGCAAACTGTCCGGCGCCTCAGGAGAGGAAGGCAGCAACTCGCTCACACTGTTTACAGTGGGGATGGGGAGCTGCTAACGTCAACTGGGGCTATAGTCGGACGGTGGAAGGAATACTTTGAGGAGCTCCTCAATCCCACCTATGCGCATTCCGAGGAGGAACCAGAGCCGGGAGACCTGGGGATGGACTGTCCAATCTCAGAGGTAGAAGTTGCTGAGGTAGTCAAACAACTACACAGCGGCGGAGCCCTGGGGGCGGATGAGGTTCGTCCTGGGTATCTCAAGGCTATGGATGTTGTAGGGCTGTCGTGGTTGACACGTCTCTGCAACATTGTGTGGTCATTGGGGGCAGTTCCTGTGGAGTGGCAGACCGGGGTGGTGGTCCCCATTTTTAAGAAGGGTGACCTGAGGGTGTGTTCCAACTATAGGGGATCACACTCCTCAGCCTCCCTGGAAAGGTCTACTCCAAGGTACTGGAGAGGAGGGTCCGATCGATAGTTGAATCTCAGATAGAGGAGGAGCAATGTGGTTTTCGTCCTGGCCGTGGAACTGTGGACCAGCTCTATACCCTTGCAAGGGTGATGGAGGGGCCATTTGAGTTTGCCCAACCAATCCACATGTGTTTTGTGGATCTGGAGAAGGCTTATGACCGTGTCCCCAGGGGTTCCCTGTGGGGAACGCTCCAGGAGTATGGGGTGGGTGGCTTTCTGTTAAGGGCCATTCAGTCCCTTTACCAGAGGAGCGTGAGTTTGGTCCGCATAGCCGGTAGTAAGTCGGACCTATTCCCAGTGAGGGTTGGACTTCGCCAGGGCTGCCCTTTGTCACCGGTTCTGATCATCACTTTTATGGACAGAATTTCTAGGCGCAGCCGTGGTGTGGAGTGTGTCGAGTGTGGTGGCAGGAGAATCTCGTCTCTGCTTTTTGCGAATGATGTGGTTCTCCTAGCTTCATCCAGCTCTGACCTTCAGCTCTTGCTGGGTAGGTTCGCGGCCGAGTGTGAAGCGGCTGGGATGAGGATCAGCACCTCCAAATCTGAGACCATGGTTCTCGACCGGAAAAGGGTGACTTGCCAACTCCGGGTCGGGTGAGAGGTCCTACCTCAAGTGGAGGAGTTTAAGTATCTCGGGGTCTTGTTCACGAGTGAGGGTAGGAGGGATCGTGAGATCGACAGGCGGATTGGTTCGACGTCTGCAGTGATGCGGACGCTGAGCCGATCTTTCGTGGGGAAGAGGGAGCTGAGCCAGAAAGCCAGGCTCTCGATTTACCGGTCGATCTACGTCCCAATCCTCACCTATGGTCATGAGCTTTGGGTAATGACCGAAAGAACGAGATCGCTGATACAAGCGGCCGAAATAAGTTTCCTCTGTAGGGTGGCCGGGCTCAGCCTTAGAGATGGGGTGAGGAGCTTGAACATACGGGAGCGACTCGGAGTAGAACCGCTGCTCCTCCGGATCGAAAGGAGTCAGTTGAGGTGGTTTGGGCATCTGGTCAGGATGCCTCCTGGACGCCTCCCTGGGGAGGTGTTTCGGGCATGTCCTGCCGGCAGGAGGCCCCCGGGTCGACCCAGGACACGTTGGAGAGGTTACATCTCCAATTTGGTCCGGGAGCGCCTTGGGGTCCTGCCGGAGGAGCTGGTGGAGGTGGCCGGGGAGAGGACGGTCTGGAGCTCCCTAGTGGGGATGCTGCCCCCGCGACCCAGACCCGGATAAGCGGAGGAAGACGACGACGACATTTTGTTATCTATGTTCGAAAAACTTGTCAGATTTTAAAATAAACAAGTACAGTTAAAATGTTTTGTTTATTTGTTATTACAAACCATTATATCCAAAACATCAACAAAAACAATGGCAAAAAGGACACTTTAGTAGAAATAAAAAGAAAATTAATCCAGAAGTGATTTCTGCAGATACCTTCTATAGATCACCGTCTAAACACGCAAGCACACAAGCACACGAGGATAAGAGAGAAGCCTGAACACCTTCGTGCCCACACTTCCCTGTACCTTCTCCTAGACCGAGGGCAGGAGAGCAGCTTTTAACAGCTGTCAAGAGATTATCAGTAATTGCAAACAGCTGGGCACTGGGAGACGGACGATGCAGATGCCACTGAGGCCATCTTGTGGCCGAAAAGGGGCAAGGCACGTAACAAACACATGGCAGATTCTAGTAGACATAAACATAACATAACATCAATTCAGTGAGCACAGATTAATGAAGCACTTCATTATACTATAATTATTATAAGTAGTAATAAACAAATGTTTATTTAATGATTATCTAAATTATAAGTCATGGAAGAAGTTCATATTGATTTAGGAAATCATTCTCGAATTTAGCAATTGATTCGAGCTAGAGTTCTTCCTTCTGTGGAGGCAGACAGATCGGACCTTGGGAAAGAAAGTTTTTGTTTATCTTTCAAACTTGCAGAGTCTGTGAGCCCCAGCTGGCATGAAAGCAGGCTCATTTAAAGGGAACACACGCAGTGTTGTGTCCCCTTTCTGACCAGATGTTGAATAGATGTTGAAAGGTCAGACTGTACCTAAACTGACCATTGCTGGACGTTACACATGAATGTTGCCAACCTACACGTCTTTTTATTTTTCATTATCAAATTTATTGACATGGGAAAAATTATCTCGATAAAAGTCAGATATTTCGATAACAATACATTTTCGATTTATTGCCCAGCCCTATGTCACATTATGGCAAAATTACCCAAACCACGTTGGGACCCATTTTTCCCCAGGTGATGAGCTAAAATTAATATGAGATTCTGCCAACAAAAAGGCTCTAAAACAAAATATTTAGCATATTTATTGCAAAATCTTCTTTTTCTGCTGCTTTAGTGCTGCAACAACGTTTTGTTAATAAGAAATTATTATACTTTTTGTTTTCCTACAGCATCGGTAAGCTTCCTGTGCACAGAATGTTAATAATACTTGTTTCAGCTGTGAGATTAGACAATATGGTGAATTAAAAAAAAAGTTTGTCATGATGGACTCCATGGAAACTTTCAGAGAATCCACAAATAGTGGCTTCCAAATGGTTTTGTTATGATTTTTGTGAATTTAGAATAGAAGCAGATGTGACAGCATGTCTGACCATTTTGTTTTTCGATGGACAATATTAGAACATGTCAGTAATGTCTGAGGTGTTTTTTTTTTTATAAAAACTGTATAACTAATACTCCTGGACAGGGTAGGAATTACACAAAGGCTTCTGGGGGAACCCGGTGATGGAGGGGAGTTTTCTGTTTGGCCTTGGGCCCCAACATGCCTTGAAGCGGCCCTGGGTGTGTGTCTGAGTTTTGAAGGTGATCTGATTCAGATCATCTGAATTATATCAAATGTATAAATATTACATGTGTATAACTTATTGTTTTATAAAACGTGTAGTGGAGATGAATGTACCTACATTTTACTTTTCAACACTTTGTTTTGTTTTCTTGTTTTTATGTGACTATGTTTCCTGTCCTGTCTGTCTCTCATCTTCCTGCATCTCCTCTAAATTCTCTAGAAAAACTGCTGCCTGGATTCTTACTTTTTCACCTCATCAGTTGCTTTTGAGCAGATCAAAGATATCTCTTGACTGCAAAGCGGAGTGCGGACATTTTGATGAGAGTGAAAAGTGGACATATCCGGGGGAAAGAGGACGTATGGTCACCCTAGAGATAAACTAATTAAGGGCTTATTTAAAAACGTACTTAAATTAAGCCACAGTTGAGCAAAGAACTACAACTCCCAACATGCAACAGTGCAGTAAAAGGAACTACATCCGGGTTCAAAGTTTGACATGCGTGTTCGGGTAACTTTGAGCGCCATGTGGCTGGTTTTAACATAAAAACATTTCTGTCTGGAGTTTAGCGAGTGTGTTTCTCGTGTCGCTTATGAAGATGTCAGTGAACGCATCCAAGCTGGAGCTGAATCAGCTCATCCACCGTTACTTAAAGGAGAGTGGTTTCTGTTCAGCTGCTGATGAGCTTCAGAGGCACAGCCCACAGGTCAACACACACACACACACTTAAGGGTTCTAATGGGTTTCTTTAGTTGTATAAAATAGCAAATGAGTGCTGTTTAAAGCTAGCCTTCCTCATCCTGTGCTGTTGTGTTGATGCAAACCTTAGTAAAGCTGTTAGTTTCCCTGTTATAAAATATTATAAATAACAGCTCACGTCTGGAAGGAGTCAACACAACTTCTGTTTAAATAAACACAATTAAAGCACAAACCGTGACCCCTTCAGAGTTCAGGAGTAAAATAGGCTGTCGGGAGTCACTGCTTCTAGTCAGAACCAGAACAGGGATAGGGTTAGGTCTAAATAATACAAATGTTCAGCAGGTGGGGATGTCTTCTTCTGTCAGTGATTGTTTTACAGTGATTTAGAACAGATTACAGTAGAATAAACTAGAATCGAATAATCCCGATGGGGTATCCACATGTTAAGGCAGCCCAAACACGAAAGAATAAGAATATAATGCAGATAAAGACACAGGCAACAGGCTTTAATTGTAACCTGCTATGAAACAGAATAAAAATCTAAAGATGAGTTTACAAAAGGAAAACTGCACAAAAGGACACAGAAATACTAACATATATATATATATATATATATATATATATATATACATATATATATACACACATGCTGACATTAACGTGTAACAGTAGAGTGGTATGGTCTTACTGCAGTGGGAGTGAATGATCTATGGTAACATTTAGTTTTACATCATTCATGAGACAAGTGGGTTAGGCTCTTCACTTTTTAGTTTCTGTTTGAAGTCGTGTAACGAAGAAGCTAGTTAGAGCCTGATGTAGCTAAACGTACATGTGGGTTAGTTGGATCACGACAGGATTTTCTTGGTTGCGATGTGAAAATCACACCAACATTTATGAAAAGGTCAATAAGGTGAAAGTGGTTTTGTTCGCCTGCAGGGAGAAACAAACCCATCCGTGTCTTTACTGGACATCTACAGATCATGGTTAAAGTAAGTTTCTACTCTTGGTCATTAAAGGTGTTTCCACGCCGCCGCTGATGTACAAACTGTTGTTTTGTTTTCTCATGGCAGAAACTCTAAAAAGAAAAAGCAGAAAAACTCAACTAAACGTTCCAAACCGGGAGAGAAGGGAACGCCTGTGACTAAAGGTGGGACTTGCTTCTGTTTCTCTACACATAGGTTTGAATCCTTGCAGACACAAAGACAGGCTTTGTTCGCGTCTTTCTAATGCAGAAGTGCACACCGAATGTTTTAGCGTAAGTCACTGCCCGTTTGCAGATGGAGACTCTGTTCTCCATCCTGTTTTCACCTATCACTCATTAGTTTTACAGGTATCTGCTGCGTAATTACAACATCACTCTTTGTATTCTGATCAGACTAGACCTCTTATGGGTGTTTTCTGGAGACATTTCTGTATCGGTGCCCAGTGCAGCTCTACATGTTGACATGTCAGATAGAGAGGACGTAGGTGTGTGTCCTTTCTCCGGGAGATGTGCAGAAACGAATCTAAATAGTGATTTACTCTGTTGGTGGAGACGTCTCTGGTTTTTTTTTAATGATTTTAACCTGTTTTCTCCTCTTTTCCAGCCAAACCTTCCACACCAAGGAAGAAAACAGAAAAACCAGTAAAATCTCCAGCGTCTTCATCAAAAAAGGTGGGGTTTTTTTCTTTCATTTCTTTTGAATTTTAGTAGATCTTAAATTTGATCAGGTACCACTTTTTTTTCGCTGTGGTTTTCTTTTAGTCTGTTCCAAAAAAGAGGAAAAAGGGTGAAGAAAACTCCTCAGAAAATGCTGTGAAGGCAAAGAAATCCAAGCTCCAGTCCGCAGGTGTGGGGGGTGACTCCGACTCCGACAGCAGTCTGGATGTGGAGAAGTGGAAGAAACGGATCTTCCAGATGACTGGTAGGACGGCGATGTTTCTGTAAAGGGCGAGGTGATGGCGAGCCATCAGACGGCTCTCCGTCCCTCTAGATTGACTCATGTCTGCGTTCCCTCAGAACGTACGGAAACTAAAATGCTCGTGCAAAAACAAATAAAAATGCATCGTCTGGAAGGAAAAGCAGGAAATGATGGGAGATGAGTGATGGGGGTAGAAGTCCTCCTCATGGGAAGACAAACAGAGCTGTGGGCGGTAGCTGTTTACCTCCCGTAGACGCTCCTTTTGAAGCTTTTATATCTTCAGCCAAGTTTCTTTATGCTGTGTCTCTGCAGAGGTGGACCTAGCCAAGATGAAAAGCATCAACGCCTTGGACTCGTCCACCCTTCAGCCCAAGAAACCCAGAGTGAGGAAACCTCGTGCAAAGCCTCCTGCTAAAGTGGTCGCTCCTGATCAGCTGATCAGCGAGAAGATTGAGGCGAAAGCTGTGACCACCACACCATTAAAGGGTATACTTAAAAAGAGCTGCTTCCCTCCTGGCAGCTTAAGCAAAGTGCTAAGCCATAATAGTGTGGACAAACCAGAAACACCCCCGGTCTTACCTGAGAAACAGAGTCAGGCTAAAGAAACTGGGACCTCCGGGACTCCTGTGAAAGAAACAAGTGATGAGACGGCGGCTGAGCACAAGAAGAAGAAGAAGAAAAAGAAGGAAAGTGAGGATAACATGGAAATAAATGCAAAGGATGCAGTTGAAAACGAAAAGGACGGTAATGGAGGGAAAGTAAATGAAGTAGCAGAGCAAAAAGCTGCAGATAAACCTTTGAAAGAGAAGGAAAAAGGAGCAAAGACCGAGAAAGACGTGATGGAGACTACTAGGACTGATGCCGAGGACATTTCTGAGTCGGCTGCACTAGAAAATAAAACAAAGAAAAAGAAGAAAGTCAAAAACAGGAGTGGTGAAGATGCAGCAGGCGTAGGTGAAGAAAAGAAGGTACAGAAGAAAAAGATGGTCACAAACATCTCAGAGGAGGCTTCAGCCGAGGGAGTTCAAGAAAACACCCACCAGAGTTTACTAAATACTAGTGAAGTTCATATGGAGGAAACGTCTGAGCAGAACGTCAAAGAGAAAACAGTAAAGAAGAAGAAAAAAAGGGTCCTGAGTGAGGAAAGTCCTCAGCAGGGAGCTGTGGAAGGACAGGACACTATGGAGCACAGCGCTGAAGGGGAAGTGCATTCAGAACTTGTGGTGAAAAAAAAGAAAGCAAAGAAGAAGAAAATGGAATCTGCTGATGGTGAAGAAAGTCCAGAGGACGTCGTTCAGGAGAAAAAGTCAAAAAAGAAGAAAGCAAAGCGTCCAGAGGAGGACACGTCAGAGCAAAAACCAGATCAGGAGACGGAGACGTTACAGCACACAGGTAAAGGCTTTCATCACAACACAAGTATTGTTTCAGACGAGAACATCCAGGTTATATTTATGTGAATTCCGCTGGTGTGCTTTCTCCAGCCGACCAGGAGGCCTCGGGTCCTCCAGAAAAGAAGAAGAAAAGTGAGTAACTGATCCTGTGTACTTATGGTAAAGTAAACTTTATTTTTGGTTTTTTATTTTTTACCTTTTGTTTTTTTTTCAGAGAAAACTAAGTTAAAACCAGAAGAGCTCCCAGAAGAAGCTGTAGTTTCTGATGTGACAGAAACACAAACTACCTCAGATGTTTCACATAAAAAGGTATCACAAAACTCCCAACTGTCCCTACATCAGCAGGTGTGGTTCTAATCACCGATGTGTTTCTTTAATCCACAGAAGAAGAAACACAAGAGCCCAGCCTTGTGATGTGTCTGCAGGCCATCAGCTTTGTCCTGTTTCTAATCTCACTTTAGTGGTTGAAGCTGTAAATACAAAAGGAGATTTTTATTTTGTTTTTATCTCTTCTTACATTATTTTTGTCGTACGATAGTTTTTTTTAAGTTCATGCTGTCAGTTCCAGGAGCCTCAGCAATGAGACATGAGGACTCATATTATGTTTTTAGTAATCAAGAGAAAAATATACCGTAAGTCCTCTAATATTAGCCTGTATTTAATTAACTGCCGGGTTTCATATTTTGGCCGGTGTCTGAGTCGGCGGAGGTGAATAATGGCCGGTTTTTTATTGTGGCCGGGTGGAATGTGGTAACAAGCAAGTACGGGGGGCGGTTGTGTCATCCGTCTCACTTTTGATTTGCCAGTGATAGACTGCGAGGGTAACTTTAACCGTGCGGAGACGAAGAGGAGGCGAAAATTTGATATCAAGTTCAAAGAGAACGTGCTGATTATGCTGCAGAACACTCTGGGGAGCAGTAGCAGGGGTTGTATGAACTAGTCACTAGTCGACTTCACCGCTCTATAGTGACTTTTTATGCCTGTCATCAACTAGTCGCTGTCACGTGATAATGACCGGCAAGATGCAGCCCTCAGAAAAGACAGCAGCCTGCTGTCAGCAGGTGACAAGCTCCTGCACGTCGGGAGACAACGCGCTGTGCCAGAGCGTCGGTACTGACACCCGCCGTAAAACGGACACTTAACCAAATTGTGACGTTAACCCTCTTGCAATTTAACCTTCCCCTCACCCCCATCCTAACCTTAACCAGCTTGCGCATGCAAAGCTCTGATTGTTGACGCGCTCCAGACATCTGCGTCCTGAGCACGGCCACAGTAACATTATCAAATCAGGTGTCGCCACCTCAAAAACTAATTTCACATGCAATCGTTCATGTCGGCTCATTTCTTTTTATGTTTTCTGTCTTTTATTCTTTTATTTGTGCCTGATGCGTTTCACTGCTGTGGATCGGGGCGCATCACCTGTTTTGTCCTCGGTGACGAACCTAACTGATGTGGCCGGCGAGCACTCCGCTGTTTTTGCGGTCGGTAGATCTTTTAGAATTGCAGTTCAAAGGTAACTCATAAGGTGAATATATATGAACCCAGGTAGCAGTTTTTCTTTAGGATTGAGAGGAGATGCAGGAAGATAATAAACAGGCAGGACAGAAAAATTGTCAAATAAAAACAAGTTAGTTTTTGTACCTGGTGGTTGCAACAAACAGACACCATTGAAGGTAATCAGAAGTGAGGAACGGAAAATGAAATAATTATTTTAATGTTTAGAGCAGCAGGAACTCAGAGAGACTGCAGGCGCATCAGTGAGTTTGCGGCCGCTGCGCAGGGGGAGGGGGGAGGGCTGAAGCAGAAACTACCGTTGTTAAAAGAAATGTGTTTAACTTTGAAAATGTGGGTGCAATATTAATTGTCAAAAACTCCAGCGAACCATTATTTCATTTTGCTCAAATAGAAATTGAGGCCTGCCTCTAATTCTGGTCCTCCATCCAATAAAGGCCTGGAGCTTGATGAGCTTGAGTCAAATACAGGCCCGGGCCTGTATTAGAGGATTTATGGTACTTTTTAATTCTAATTGAACAGCTACCCTGGTGTCTTCTATTCAGACTGCATGACTTTACATAATATATTTATGTAACAAGATTGTTTTTAACTGTTTTGACACTTTCAAAATCATGTTTTTTGTAAAACAAAGCAACAAAAAATTGTTTAATGTGACTTTTCAAATGTAAATTTTATATAAATGGTTTTAATGCAAATTAAACTGTTTTGGGTAAAGTGTTGCGTACAGAGCCGGATTAACGCAAAGGCAAAGTAGGCACGTGCCTAGGGCCTGATTGGCTGGATGGGGCCCAGACAGAGGAACAAAATTATAAATTAATTAATTAAATATTAAATGTACACATGTCCTATGATAGAATTTGTAGCTAGGACTCCTATCTACAATTTGTTTCAATATTTATTAATTAACTAAAAATAGTGACAATGTTTATCTTAACCATAGACCGTTTCATTGGCTACGTCACATTAAACCTCTGGGGTCCACAGACGAGTACGCGTCTTTTGAACAGGTCTGATTTGGGACGCTTTAGCAGCAAGACTCCGCCTCCCTGAGTTTCGGTTTCAATTCAGCTTTCAAAGGCAGATTATAAACTACACCCCAGTTTTTAAATTTTGTTAATAGGCAACGTAAAAGCGGAGCTATACTAAACTAAAAAATGACCTATTTTTAGACAATCTGATAACTTGTCAAAACAGCGGTTTAGTAATCTGTGAGTGGGAATGTGCTTGTGAACATTAAAAACCCACAAAAACACGAGATCCTTTTGCTGTTGGTGGACGTCTCACATATTCAGCTGATAAAAAGTATCACACGAGTAACGAGATGTGCGCAAAAAGGAGCCGCTTCGCGGGGAAAGGAGTGGCGCGAACGGAGTAACAACAAACAATTAGACAGATATTGACGGTAAACTTTGTATTTTGGAGCGATCCGGACAGATATCTTGTCTCTGCAGTTTAGTAGGCTTTTATTAGGCTTTAATAAAGGATGATGAGAAGGATAAATGTCCACCAGGCAGTTCAGATAGTACGGCTGTTTTTTGAACTGGAAGCAGAGGAAGTGGGCGGAGACTCGCAGCCGGAGTCTGAGGCAAATAGCGAGGATGATGATGATGATGTGGCAGATCCATCCTTCCTCATAGAAGAGTTGGGTCATGATGAGGTAGAGGATGAAGGCAGAGATCCAGCTCCTCGGAGATCCAACAAGAGGAGTGGGCGGCGCCGCGCAGCTGTCAGATCTCGGCGTGAGACAGAGCCACTCCCCACTCCAAAATCCATGTACATTATTGCCAAATTAATAAAATAAGTATAAATTCAGATAGTCCAGGTTGTCCTGAAATTAATGATACCCCATAAGGCAATATTTATCGTTTTTATTAGAAAATACAAAAGAAAAACCAAAATGAGTCAAAAACGGTGATTTACACTCTGGATCCCAGAGAGCTAATAACTTTTTTTAATTAGTTATTTGCTATATTTAGTCATATTTTTTTATAAATGTACAGTCTAGATTACCAGTCTAAATGATAAAAAACATTTGTCATAAATGTTTGTTGGTTTCACAGTAAAATAAACAACTTTTTTCCTATTCAGATTTTATGTTTTTGAGTGATTTAAGGTCTAATACGCAACCCCTTTATGTCCAAATATACAAAATAAGTATAGATTCATAAAGTCCAGGTTGTGCTGAAAAGATTGATACCACATAAGGCAGTGGTTATGGTTTTTATTTTGGAAATACAAAGGAAAACTCACTGCAAATTACACCCTGGACCCCAGAGGGTTAAGGCGCCACCGGACGTCAGAGAAGCGGTCAGAGTCAGAGCAGGACACAACAAAGCTAGCAGGTGGTTTTGAGTAGGCTAACTTTCACGATGCTTTCGGGTGTGGCAAAACGTAAAAAAGAAAAATATTTAAATGAAGAGGAACTAAAGAAGAGACAGCGGGGGGCTTTACAGAAGTTTCTGTCGGGCTGCTCGGGCAGCCGTCCGACAGCTGTGAACATGCTCGAGTCAGCAGAGCCAGAGGCCGGGACCAAGTCAGACCCGGAGGAGACACAACCCGAAGACGCGGTGGAAGATGTGGCGGAAGATGCTGTAGCGCCAACGCCGTCAACATCAGCGCCTTCACAGAAGGACAAACTGGAAGAACAGCAGCCAGCCAGAAGTGAGCCCAATATAGTCTTCAGGAGCCCCTAGACCCAGACAGGGTATTAACAACTAGCTACCCATCTGATCCTGCAAAGTGGTACCAAACTGATGAGTACTTTGCACTAAACTATCCCTCTCAAAATATTGGATATTCTTCTGCATCACAGAGGAAATCTGGAGACATAGACTGAAGCTTAACCAAGGAACGTTTCTTTAGACGTGTTTCTGCTGTGATTGAGGCCCTGTGATGCTGGAAGGCTGAAGATTATCCCGGAGTAGATAATGTTTCCTTGGTAAGTGTTGCTGGTTTTATTAATTATTTGTCAAATAATTTTATTAATGTTCAAATAGCAAAACAATAAGTTCACACTCAGAAAATTGACAGAATTTCTGATTCAGCAGAGGCAACAGCCTACAACACATGACTTATTTTGGCATACAAACAACCAATTTGTAACCAAAAACTATAGGCTATGTAAAATGTGAATGAACTTTTGTAAGTAAATTTTGTAAGTTTCAGATTTCAATTCATTACATAACATCGATGGGGGGGGGGGGGGCTAAAAATGCAGCCTGCCTAGTGTAGTCCATTTATTTAATCCGGCTCTGGTTGCGTACATACTGTTTGTTCCGGATATAGCTTTAAATTATTTTTAAAATGGCAATCTCATTACAAGTTTTTGATTGTATTTTATGTCATGTTTACGTTCTATTTGGTTTGATGTTTTTTTGTCCTTTTCTCCTAAAACTTCAAATGAAAAACTTGCACGTGCACGTTTAGTTGTGCCTGTAGTTTAGTGTGTGACCGCTAGGTGGCGGTGTAGCTGCTGAAGAACAAGCAGTCGTTTCGAGTGTTGCATGTGCCCTGGATAAAAAGCCTCAAATACTTTTCATATATTTGTCTCTCAATTTATATATCACTATGTGAGTGATGTCTCTTTTTTTCTAAAATCATTAATTCAGCTTGAAAACAGGTTTATTTGAACCTATAGTTAAGTCTGTGACCGCTAGGTGACGGTGCAGCTGCTGAATGAGAAATAAACAGGCGAAGAAGAATAGTACCTCTTGAACACAAACTGAAAAGTGTACTAACAATTTTTTAATAATTATTTTTGCTCCGTTTTACTGTAAAATAATGTGGAAATTAAGGAAACTTAATCGTAAAGCTGCTCAGCAGATTGGCAGCATGGAGGAGTTCCGGCTGAAGAGGCGAGAGAAGGAGAAAGGCGAGTAACGTTTAACTTGAATATTTTTAATTGAATATTTTCAAAAAACAAGTAGCACGAGCTACTAACCGTTGGTTTATGCTGGAAAGTTCTGGTGGCTTATTAACAGTTCAATCTGTTACGTTTGTTAAGTGTTGATGACGGATGGAATGATGGTGGTTCCTGAATCAAGCTACTGTTTTAAAATGGATTTCTATAAAATTATTTTCAATTTATTGAAAATAAAATTTGCTGTGTAAAATTACAGCTAGCTGCAGGTTAGTGTTACAGTGAACAGTAGACGTCTGCCGTAGTTTCATGCATTATGTTGCGTTGTTACTCTTTAGTTTGTAGATATCTCCTAGATAAACGTTTTTGTCGTGGACTGATGGAAACGACATTGTGGTATTTTGTTTTGATGTAGCTCTGAGACAAGCCCGCAGAGACAAACAGCTGGTGAGCAAAAGACTTCTTCTAAATGAGGACGAGGAGCAGCTGGAGGTCAGCATGGAAACAACCTCAGGAGAACAGGTGAGGGGGGGACAGATGTGGTCATTTACTCACACATCCTGTAAAGTGTATAAAACGCTGTGATCTTTTAGCCTGGCAAGCCAGACTAACTAGTGAACTCTTCCATTTTCTCAGGACGTGGTTGGTTTGTTCCACAAACTCCGGCACACCAACCCAGAGAAGAAGGAGGTCCACCTAAGAGCTCTGAGTAATGTCCTGCGTGACCCATCAGCCCAACTCACCTTCATCAAGTACAGCTTTGACTATTTCTGATCATTCTCTGTTGTGTTTATCTCACGTTCTCGTGTCTGTGTGGATCTGCTGTGACAGGCTGGAGAACAGTGTTCATCTACTTGTTGGTCTTTTCACCGGGTCTGATGCTCAGTGTCGGCTGCAGGCTGCCCGATGTCTTCATGAGCTGTCTCACTCTCCCCACACTAATGTGGCAGCAGCCTGTCTGCCTGCCACTCCCTACCTGCTCACATACCTATCCGGCCAGAGCACCAAGTTTACAGTAGGTACCCACTCATACCACTTTCTAACACCCACTTATGAATTTTGATGTCTAGCTTACCTTCTGTGCACATCTGTGTGCAGGAGCTGTGTCTCTACACTCTAGGTAACCTATGTCCAGACAGTGAGGGTGTAAAAGAGAAGCTCCTGGCTCAGGGAATCATACCAGCTTTGGCCAGCTGCTTTGAGGTATGCTAGAGAAATCCATGGCTGTTGTTTTCTCAACTCGTTACACCAGTAAAATAATTTGTCCCTCCAGAACCAGAAGCATAACCTTGCAGTGGTGGAAGCTGTGGGCTTCACACTCTCTCAGCTTCTCCAGACCAGCACTGCAGCAGAGAAAGCCATCCCGTACGTGTGATCAGATGTAATCTGTTTTTCATCATTATTCAGTTTTTGTCCTCCTGAATGGCCGTACTTACCTATTCCTGTTTGTGTGTGCAGGATGGTCCTGGCTTCCAGCTTACCTTCACAGTTGTTATCAGTTCTGACCCCAGACCCAGAGTTCGGCCTGGGTGCTGTCATCGAGTGTGCGTGGTGTCTTCACTACCTCATATGCAGGTGGATGTTGCGCAGTATTACCAGGAAGTGTTTGATGTGTTTTTGTTATTAAACTCCTGCAGCACGATGAGCTCACACACCTCTGCTTTTTTTGTCCAGCTCTGAGGATCACAGAGTCCTGCTGGCTCATGGGGCCTTGAGACACTGCAGTTCCCTACTGGTGACACTAGGTGGTGCTGTGGCTTGTGGCAACAAAGAAGAAGGAATGGAGCTGGTATAATTTTTATTGCTTCAAGCTCTTGTTCAATTTGATTTGTTTGCATCAAAGTGATGTATCAATTGGAATAGGGGAGAACTCTTCAAGACAAGATGGTATAATTTGACGTTTTTGCTGTTTATTGTGTGAATACTCGTCACCTTTATGTTTAGTGTACCTTTATGTTTAGTGTGATCAAAACATTAAAAAAGGAATTTTCACTTAAAAGTTATTTTAAAAACAAATGACCAAAGCCTAAATTTATTTGGTTGCTTCAATACATACCATGTTGTACTTTGTAAAAATGATGATGATGTTTCAGTTGATGAATGTCAAATAAGAGCATGTAGATATTTTATTTTAATATTAATTTAGAATTCTCTGCAAGTGTTGTGATCTTATAAATCTTCTGGCCTCTGCAGCTCATCTGGCCTCTGTTGAGGTGTGTTGGAAATCTCCTGCCTTCCTGCCCGGTGGAAGACCTGAGATCTCAAGTCAGAGATTTTGATCTTCTGGTCGCTCTGTGTGAACTTGTTCATGCCTACCTGCACATCCAGCCGGCCTTGGCCAGAGAGACAGCCTGGGTCCTCAACAACCTCACAGGTTCAAGACTTCCTGTTTACAATCATTTCTGTGTTAACCTTAAATGACTCCACCATTTTGGCTTGTGTCCGGGTAAGGCTGTTGTTTATTTAGGATCTAGGAGAGAGCAGAGCACGTCCCTGCTAGTAGAAGCTAACTGTTAGCATTAGCAACTCCACAACACATCAAAACTCCTTCAGGCTTGAGTTATTTGTGGATATAAAACATCAAGTGTCAGTGGTAGAGTTAGTGTGGTTAGCCAATCAGAGACAGGACGTCTGAATATCAGGAAGTAAGACTCTCCTTTCCTCCAGTTAACTTCTAGTTCTTGAAACAGGAGACCCAGAGCTTTTCCCCACAGACTCACGAGGCATTCGTTTATACTAGAGACCACTGCAATTGTGCTGAAAATACAAGAGAACTTGGTCTTTAACACACATCTGACCTGAAACCAGAAGCAGTGGTCAGCTCTGTTGTTACTAGGAGCTAAACTCACCCAGAAACACTTTCATGTTTCATCCTTGAGGGCTCAGTTGCCATCCGTGGAGAACAAGAAAATCTTGCCAGAAATGCTTGTGTGTTTGTGTTTTTTTTTTACTTTTTATCAGATAGAAAAACTTTTTTTAATTAATACATTTTTATTTAAATTTGATATTATGTTCCACTATAACAGCTAATTAACCCCTTGAAGACCTGAACTGGTCTTCTGTCTGTGTGATGTGACGTGTTCTTCTCTTCCTGTTGCAGCCCACTCCTCTGAATTCTGCTCAGCTGTTCTCACCTTCAACCTGGTTCAGAGACTGGTCCCACTTCTGCATTTCTCTCAAGGCATTAATACAATGGTAGTGCAGTTGTAAACCAAACACTGATGTTCTAATATGTAACTGAACCAGAGGCTTTTGCCCCTGGATTTTGTTCTCCAATACTCTAACAATGGTTTCTGTCTGCATGTTACTCATAGGTTTTAAGGATTTTAGCAAATATCGCTCACAAGAAGAAAGAGTTCTGCGTCCAGCTGTTGGAGCTCGGCTTGCTGTCGGCTCTCTGTGCCACGCTTAAAATGACGGAGCCAGAGATGGTGACTCTGAGTCTGGATGTCCTGTTCATGATGATAGTCAGCAGTCCGCAGGTAACAAAGCCACATCAAATACTAAAACCATCTCTGTTCTGTTAAAATTCTGTATTTGTGTTTAAATATGAGGAATTTCCTTTTGCTCATGCAGGCAGCAGAGCAGTTTGTGAGACTAGGAGGTCTCTCTCTTTTAGAGGCCATTCAGTACAACAGTGAAGGACAGATGAGAAGAAGAGCCACGTACCTCCTAGAGCAGCACCTTCTCACCTACCAATGACATGTACTTATTATTTTTATCTAGTTACATTTTAGGACTGAAAACATACTCATGTGAGCTTTGTGTTGCAGATGGAAAACATGGCTGACTCATGACCGCACAAGAAGACAAAAGACGTGGAACCAATAGTTTCCATTTTAGAATAAATATGATGTCAAGAGTTTTTGTATGTAAAAGTGGATTTCTGAGAACTTTAGATGTGATGAAGTGATGGATGATTGTGCTTTACAGTGTGGCATAAATATATTTTTGATATTTGTAAACATGGAAACATATTTAAATGTCTCAGTAATATGTTTGTACACAAGATTATGTATCTATTGAGGCAGCGTAAGCTGGAACTCCTTCCTACATTACGCACATGACTATATTGAGTATTTATAACCACCTAATGCAATTACAGTTATTTAGTGTAACATATTTTAGATAATTATGTTATTTGTCTCAGCAACCATCATGATTGTTAAACAACTTAATAAAATATTTTAAAAGTCTGTTTGAGTTTTTTTAAAAGTAGGACCTGTCTTATAAATATTCCAAATTCACTTTATTTTAGTGTTTTGATATTTTTATACAATAAAGTAATATGATTTTAGGTTTAATGTTTTAAATATTTTTGGTAGTGAACTTGTCTCACCATAGCAATATATGTCAATTATTATGTCAATTCAAGGATCATTCAGATCACAGGATTATTATTAAGATAATTACACACAATCCTAAACTTGTTTTCTCTGATTTCCTGTGGTTGAGGTCTTGCATACCCCTGTTTGTCTCTCTGTAAGGAAGTGGTTCCCAAATGTCTTGTAGACGTCCCATAAGTGTGAACATGTAGCCTGGCCACAACCTATAGACAAGAGTTCAATCTTGGAACAGGATCTATGGTTGTCTTTCAAACTGCATCCACATTACCACTACTGATATCAGTCAATGGGGCAGTCCACAAAAATACATCCTTTGTAAAGACTTCAAGCTGCTACAGCGAATCTATGAACAAGCTAGGTTTTGAACACAAACACTGAGTGTTTCTCAATGTTAAGGCGCCTGGCCTTGCGAGGACACTGTCCTTCCTTGGTCAAAGAAAATGGTTAAATGGAACAGACTTGCATCACGTGACTGCGGCAGTCATGACACGTGAGGTAAAGTTATATTTTATATGTATATGTTTCAATATAAAGAGCCCTTTACTTTTTAAATTGTGTATATATTAAATATGTAAGCGATTTACTACCCGCTATTCACCGAAGCTGCAACTACTAAGCAACTAAAACCAACCATAGATAACTGCTTTGGATTAAAAAAAATAATAAGAATAAAAAACTTTTCAGATATCAGCCCGATACATTTATACTGGAAATTTGCCACCGAAGTAGCTGCCGGCTTCTGATCGGTCATCCTTTTTAATATACTGCGCTGTATTCTGGGAAAATTTTGACTAAGGCTAGGCTACAAGACACCTTCCATGTATCCTTGCTCAGCTAGCTAAATGGCCAACAAAGAAGAACAGACGCCTTGGTAGAACATGAACATTGGAACACGCCTTGGTAGTTCCTGATGACATGTCTCCTAGGCAACTGGGCGGGACCAAGGCAAGGGTTGACATTGAGAAACAGTCACTCACCCCTCCTCTCATGTATATTCCCTGAGATGATTCTGCCAGAACTAACCCGTATTGTCAGAGGAAACGAGAAAGCGCTAACACCAGTCACCATTTTCTAGATCAAACGCCTTTTGTTGTCCGCGACTTAAAATGGTGTTTTTCTTTCTGGAACTCTGGTAGTTTGTCCAAAACTTGAAGTAGTAGCATCTGGCTGCTTCTCTTTCTCTGATATTAAGTGGAGATCCTCTTATACCAGTGGTGTTCGGTTGCTAAATATATGAACGCATAATGAACGGATGAGGACGCAGGAGAAGTGTGGCAGTTCGGCGAGACCGACAATTGGATGGTCTAATAGTTGCTTTCGGTCTGAAACATGCTACTAGCAGAGGCTTTCCAACAAATGTGAGAGAACCACTTTATTTATTTATTTTTTTTTTGTTTTGGTAAAGCAGGAAGGTTTCTTTTTTTAATGCTACTAATATTGTCAACTATTAAGGGCCAGGGGGTGTCTGCTTGTATTATTAACATTAATATTTAGCAGTTGTTAAGACTTTATTTAATAGTTTATTAATACTTAATAATGGACTAAGTAACGTTTTAAAGTGTTTACTTTGTTTTTATCAGTCTCCACAATATAGCTTAAACTTAGCTAAACTATGTTAGACGGTTGTTAAGAGGCATGAAAAAGTGCTTTAAGTTAACTTGTTTTCCAAATTTGCTATTGCAGCTTTAAATACATCTGTCTGCTCTTGATGCAAAGAAAAGTCCAAGTCTAAATAGTCCGAAGTTGATACCAAAGCCATTACAATGGAGGCGTCACCATCTTTCTTTGTTTCCTCGGTTGCAGTGACATTCCACCCAATTGACAGGGCACAGTGATTGGCAGGACACTGGCCGGGCCTGCTGGGGCTCTAATACACATAAGGGTCAGTACAGCCGGGGGAGTATAGTATCAATTCGGTTTTGTACAGGGAGTAGTTAAAAGTCTTCAGCTTGTCCAAAATGCTGCAGCTAGAGTTCTGATGAGAATTAAAAAGAGAGATCTTAACTCTCCTATCTTAGCTTCCCTACATTGACTGCCTGTTAAATTCAGAATAGATTCTAAGATCCTCCTTCTCACATATAAAGCTCTTAATAATAAAGCTCCATCATACATCAGTGACCTGATTGTTATATATGTTCCTAACCGAGCACTTCGCTCTCGACTGCAGGTTTACTGGTGGGTCCCAGAATATCTAAAAATAGGATAGGAGGCAGATCTTTTAGCTATCGGGCTCCTCTATTGTGGAACCAACTCCCAGCTTTAGTCTGTGAGGCAGACACCTTGTCTACTTTTAAGAATAGGCTTCAAACATTTTTATTTGATAGGTCCTATGGTTGAAATCTGATGTTAGCCTAGATCTGGACAAGTGGGGGAGTAGAGGGAGGTGGAGTGTACAGTAGGTAAAGATGGCTCTCCCTTGCCCAGCCTCCAACATGCCTCCATCTAAAAGGCTAGGTAATCCAGAGTTATCTCTGTAGTTATGCTGCTATTGGCTTAGACTGCTGGAGGACATACTGACCATTTTCCACACTTGACTACTTTCTTCTACAATCTGCTCTTCAGTGTTGGGAGTAACGCCGTTTAAGTATAACGGCGTTTCTAACGGCGTTCTTTTATAGGTAACGGAATAATCTAATTAACTACTTTTCCCGCCGTTGCAACGCCGTTACCGTTACTGGGGGCGGAACGCTGTGCGTTACTATGTGCTTGTCGAACGTTGAGCAACAGTGTGAGGCTTTCCGACCGCCACACTTCAGCTGCAGCCGGGGAGAGAGAGGTGTCGGTAACGCACTTACAAACACGATGATGATTGGCCGGGTGGGCGGAGACCCTCACGGTCTCAGTCACTGCATTCTGTAGACACAACGGGAATAACTCCGTTTAAAATAACCGCGTTAATAAAAAATATGTCTTTCTGTAACAAGCAAACTAATTAATTACCCGCTTCTTTTATCAAAACGTTGTTCCTGTTACTGGTAAGGAAATGCGTGCGTTAAGCAGTGCGGTGTGTTGAAGCTGTCATCATCAGCTGATCAGGAGCTAAAGAGGCAGATGTTTAAGAGCATCATGGCCCGTGAAGAACGAGGAAGACGTGATGAATAGTCTACGGCTGCAGACCCGCAGATTTGTTGCTGCAGCAGCGAATCTGCGGGTCTGCAGCCGTGCCCTTAGCGTGACAGCGGGGCATCCCGAAGGTCCGCTCACCTGTTCACCACTCAGACGTCCTGATCTTCCACCTTCCTAGATCATCCAGCTGTAACCTGTTTCTGATCATGTCTTTAGTCCCGCTGTAACACTGATGCATCAGTCTCAGACGTCATGGAGCTCAGGTGTTATTAGAACTACCTGTGTGTGTTCACCATCCAGCTTCAGCTCTTCTGTGGTTGGGTCTGACCCATGTTAGTACATTTAAGTCCTAGGCTTGTGCCTCTTCTAGTGTCATTTTAAAGGATATTTATTTATTTATTTAACCGATACTAGATTAGTAGCAACAGAAATGCTACTAAAAAGACACAATTATGTGAAGCTGTAAAAATTAGAATGCTGTGCAAAATTACATTTATTTCTGTAATTTAACTAGACTGAGAGACCATTTAAAGGCTCGGGAACCTTTACATGTTTCTATTTGCAATTTTAAATTTTAGCTGATTGGGTTTTTGTTAAATATCACACAGTGACCTTTTAATAGTCTAGATTAGTGTAATGTTCCTATTAGTAGTTCCTCCTGTTAAGTGCTTATTTGTTTTAATTATTCAGGTTTATATAAAACATTTGGACATACATTTTATTATGTTCAGTCATTAGTCATTTATATTTTACTATTGTAGTAATTCTTGCATGCTTTAATGAAAAAGTAACTAAGTAGTTACTTTTGTTGGTAATTAGTTACTTTTATGATCTTGTAACTCAGTTAGTAACTGAGTTACTTTTTTGACAAAGTAATCAGTAACTATAACTAATTACTTTTTTAAAGTAACGTTCCCAACACTGCTCTTTAACTGTATTATTTCCTGCTATTTCAGCTGTTAACTTTATTTTTTCTCTAAGTGTTTTTCCCCAGAAGAAGCTACATTAATGTTCTGCTGAGCTGTGGTAGCCTCATGGAGGGGGCCATTGTCTAGCACACTACTGCTAACCACTTAAACATTCTCCCTCTCCTGATAATAACATTTTACTTTCTTTGACATTGAATGTGCTACTACTAGTTTACCCATTTAATTATAGATTCACTAGGATAAATACAACAAAGTTTATCTCTCACTAAATAGAATGTTTACTAATAAATCCCAATGTAACCATAGAAACATTACTTGGTATATATGTTGTGTGTGCGGATGTGTGTTTTGTGGGTGGATGGGCTGGTGTGTGTGTCTGCTCTGTCTTTTCGATCCCCAGTGAGTCGTGGTGGATGGCTGCTTATACTGAGCCAGGATCCTCTGGAGGTTTCTTCCTGTTAAAAGGGGGCTTTCCTCTCCACTGTCGCTAAATGCTTGCTTAGTATGAGGATTGCTGGAAAGACTCTGACACTGGTCAGTGACTTGATGCAATTTGCTGGGTTCCTTATATAGGAAACTTTTTTTCTGATTGGCTTAATGAGAGTCCAGAGACAGAGAACACTTCGACATCTAACAAGCCTCTGCACCGCTTTGTGCAGAGGGAGCCCAGATGTTTTGGGGTAACATCTACATTCACACCGTTGTTAATGAATAGGAAAGCTTCACATCATTCCTGGCTTTTTTCTCCCCCTAGGTTGTTATTCTGATGTTTGGTTGTGCTGAGCTGCTGATGGGATTTCTGTTGACTGGTAGCAGAGGAGACATCTATTTCCTCATCTACTTCCCTTTCTGCCTCAGCCTTGGTACATAAAACATCTTTGTCCAGATGTTATTCAAAAGGGTTTTGAGCTTGAGAAATCTGTAGTTGTTGCATTTTCACTGAAATTGTTGTTTAAAGAAACAATTGTGTTTAGAATGATGTGTAAATATGTGTATTTGTAATAATACTAAGTAACCTTTCTTCATAATTTAAAACCAAATGTCACATTTAACTTACATTTATTTGCCTAAACAGATTGATCCCATTTGATGGTTTCTAAATAAAAAGGTATGGGTAGCACGGATGCTTGAGAAATTGCTAACTCTCCTAAAGTCCAGGAAGTCTGGTTACTTCATGGCCATGACCAATACTGAAAGGGATTTAGCTGAATACCAAAAGGAGCTGACTGGATGATCTTAATTGTTTTTGAATGTTTTGTGTTGTTTGCGGAATCCTGTCAATCTACACCGAGTTCCATCCTTCCAAGAGGATGGGTGGTGTTTATTTGTGGTTTTTAACCTCCTTTGCTGAGTCTTTCATAGTGAGTGTTGTAACTGGTCTTTTGCAGGTGACCGTGTGTCTGTCCATGTATGTGGTCACTATACTGACGATTGTAGTGTCCATTATTTTCCGGTCAAGCAGTATTGCTTACGTATTCTACAGAATAAGTGTGAGTTTTAAGTCCAGTATCTGATTTTTTTCTCCTCCTTCCTTGTGATAACTCCTCCTTCTCCTCTCCGTAGAACCAGATTGCTTAGGTGGAAATCATCTTGTGTGCATCCTCCCTGTGTGTGTTGTTCCTTCTCATCTTCCTGAACACCGAAGCACGTTTTGCACTGAAGTCAACACACACTCAGGTAACACGTTTTTCATCTTTGTGTTGTGAAAAAGACATGTCTTTTGCTTTTAAAGGAAGGGACTATTCAAGTTTTGTTCTTGACAACCAGACCCACAGAAAATAAAGCTTAGAAACTAAAGCAATCATAAGAATAGGTCAAAGTACGTCTCATCACAAAACTCTGTAACTCTGGAGAAAACACTGTTTCTCTCAAATGTAAAAAGAAAGATGACTTTTTTCTAGTCCCTACAAAGAATAATAAGTATTATCTTTTGCACATTTATTAACAATACATGAATATTCTTGTTCTTCGAGATTTTTCCCTTATCTTTTTGGACTAATTATTGCACCCATCAACACTTGGGCCAGCTCCTCTGGGGGAACCTTAAGGCGTTCCCTGCCCAGCTGGGTAACCAGCATGTCTTGGGGTTTCCCTTGAGTGTCCTCCAAAATATTACAACACACTGTCATGATCTGCGTCTGCCCCTTCCCTCATGTGTCTCCTTGTGTTCTCCATCCGTCTCTAGGTTCTCCTGTTGTGTATCCTAGCGCCCTCTTGTGTCTTTGTCTACGTCTTCCTCATGTGTTCCCAGATCTGCAGCCCCTCTAGGTTTCCTTCCCCCCCAGGTATTTCCCTCCAGGTCCTGTGCTCCCTGTGGTCCTCCTTAGTCACGCCCCTGTAGTGTCTCTTTCTGTGGTGTTTTCCTTTAGTTTCAGCTTTTCATCTTTTAGTCTCTTTTGATGTGTTTCTTTTCCCAGATTATTAGTTAGTTATTTTGCTCTTCTTGTTTTTTAGGTTCTGTCTTAGATCATGTTATCTTTTTTTCCTCCTCAACTCACTGCCCTCTCCCTGATTAGTTATTGAGTTCACCTGACTTCTCTCCCCACACACCTGCAGCTCAGCTCCCTCTTATCCTCCCCTGTGTATAAAAGCCTTGTCTGTGTCTCAGTGTGTGTTGGTTCATTGTTTCGTGTCAGACTCCTCTCGTTACTCTAGTTACTTGTGTCTCTAGTGTTTTGGCTCTCTCGTTCAGTTTTTTTTTTTGGGATATTTTTGGTTTTTGGCTTCCTGACCTTTGGATTTTATTTTATTTATTTATTTTTTGGATCATCCTCAATAAAGTATTTTACTAAATCTCCACTCCTGCCTCGTGTCGTCCTGGGTTCTGCATTTTTGGGTCCTAACCTCCTCCTGGCTCGTGTTGTGACACACACGTTTTAATTGAAATTTTTAACGTAATTGAACTTAAAGGAGCAATATTTAAGAATGTTACAGTGAAATAATCACAAAACAATCTAATGTCTCAATCATGTTGGAAGGAATGTCACTTTCAGATTTCCGTCTCAGCCGGCCGTGGGGTTGTCTGTTTTTCTCCTTCCAAAAAAGCTAAGGGACATAGTCTCTGTTTACAACCTGTGTGTCTACGGGGTTGCTGGCCAAAAGCAGCAGTGTTTTATAAAGAACCAAAACCAGTAAACAGGAGCAGCCCAGAAGTTATTTCTTGTACCCCTAAAAAGCCACTGTGAAGCAGCCTGGAGGCTAACGTTGAGCTAACAATGCTAATGGTGAATCAGAGTCAAATAGTTGGCTCTACAAATATCTTAAGATACTTTTTCAATTACCAATAACTCAATATTAACTCATTCACTGCCAGCCGTTTCCTGATCAGTAAAACCTTTCGCTGCCAGCATTTTTCAGCATTTCACTGTTTCAACTTATCTAAAATAACAGGGCATTTATTAGGTGGTAGTCATTTATCATAAATATTTATCATCTCTGTGATTATTTTTTAATTGTTGATTTTATCTTGTATCAGGTTATTATCCAGCAAATCCCACTGTCCCAGATGAGTCAGACAACACCAGACTAACACCAGCCTCCCCTTCATCACCACCTGTTTTTACCGTGGTTCGGGTTTGTTCTTGCTTTTGTAACGTGTGTTTTAAGACGAAAGGGATCTTTGATGTTATTTTATTTGCTCTGTATAGGATTCATCAGAGCTGTTCACTGGAACCGTAGTTAGTAAACTCTTTCATCTGACATACTAGACAGGATGCTGCGTTCTTTGTCAAGCGTGATTATTTCCATTGAATCTCAGTAAATCTGAAATGGAACAGCTTGTGTTTGTTCACATTTATTACTGATGGTTAGTTGTAACTATTATCCATCTCCTCCAACCACTAGTCACCAGCTAATATTTCATTTAAATGCTAATTAAATGGGTCATTTCAAAGGTTTGAGCCTTTTATTTTCAGATATCTTGAATTAATCAAATGAATTTTTTTAAATGTTGCTTTTATTTTCAGTGTCATTTATTGCCATAAATGTATATATTTTTACTAAATAAACCCACATGACGCTCTTGCATATTTTTTGTTGATACTCTGATATTTTCTGTGTAAATAAGACTTAGCTATTTCATCAGCAGTCCTGTCTTTAAAATGTGTTTTATAGCTCTAAAATTGTGACAACATAGAAAACCTCCAAAGACATTTTTAGGTTTATCTTTTATTTCCAGTTATTTCATCAAATAAAACAAACAGTAGCTCAACATTTTGGTGGAAGTCCTCTCTTGGTGTTGGTGGTCCAGGAAAGCTCATCAAGCAGAGGGCTTGTTTTGGTCCATCTGTTTTTCCAAGTGTTCACAGTGTTTAATAGGTGTAGCTGGCAGTGTACAGAGACTGTTTGGAGGACTTGTCAGCATTGGCAGAAGACTTGTACTCTCCTTTAGAAGCCAAGCCGTTGTTCTGATGAGATCAGAGGACAGAGAAGGTCAAAGTCAAACGTGTTAATGATCAGCCTGGTTACATGCACCACATCGGCCCAAAAGCTTTTAGAAATAAATGATTTACCAGATAAAGTTGAGCAATTCAACATACAAAATCAATTACATGCCAGTCTGATCGATAAAGGTGAATTGTCTAACCCGCTCGGCTCGTGAAGACTCACCTTGGCCCTGGTGCAGAAAGCCTGTTGCGCCAGCACCTTGTTAGCAGCTTTTCCCTCCCAAGCTTTGAGAGCAGAGGCCTGAAGAGCTCGGCCGTAGGAGAAGGTCAGCTTCCAGGGCCGAATGAGGGGCACCTGGTTAATGGCGTTCAGGTTGAGGGTGGCCTCCTCCTCACTCTGTCCTCCAGACAGGAAGCAGATGCCTGGAAAAACAGAGAGCAGCTGTTAGAAACCTTTTTAAATGGATTCACTATGGGGGAAATTCTGGTCACATGACACTCACCCGGCACAGCGGCAGGAACAGTGCGCCTAAGAGTCATCACTGTAGCCAAGGCAACATCCTCAGGGGTGTATCTAATAGTGCATTCGTGTCCAGCGGTGACCATGTTGGGCTTCAGCAGGGTGCCCTCCAGGTACACGTGGTGGTCAGACAGAGCTTTGTACACAGCAGCCAGGACCTAAAGATGATGCAAATGTATCATCATCACAGACTTCTGGTGTTCTCGGAGGGAAAACCCATTTTCTGTAGCTCACTAACCTTTTCTGTGGCGTACTGGCACCTCTGCAGGTCATGGGCACCATCGGTCAGGATTTCTGGCTCCACAATGGGAACCAGACCATTCTGGGGGAGAAAATGCCAAACCATTACAAACTGTTACTAATTGATAGAGTCATTAAGTCTTCAAGGATCAAAAAAGGAAGGATCACTGTAGCAATATGAACATTGGGGATACACACCTGTTGGCATATGCTAGCGTATCTGGCAAGAACGTTGGCATTCTCTGCGATGGCGAGCGCTGATGGACAGCTGTCGTTGATCTTGAGCACGCACCTCCACTTGGCAAAGTCACAACCATCCTTCTTATACTGGGCGCATCGCTCCGAGAGGCCATCAAGACCTAAACAAGCCAGAAAGGGTTCAGCCTTTACAGATGTTTACCAAAATAAACCTTTAGCTCTACCTTGTGTGGTGGTCTCTCCGTCTGTGCCAGCTAGAGGAGCTGTGCCTTTGTCTACCTATATCCAACACAACAAAAACAAGTCACACAGAGATTCAAAAGCTTGAAAAAAACTCAATTTCTCATCATACCTTGATGCCAACTACAATCCCCTTCTCCTTGATGAGCTGAGGGAAAAGCTTCCCGCAGTCTGACTTCTGGTAGAGCGTCTCGTGGAAGAAGATGACCCCACCAATGCTGTTGGCCATGGAGGAATCGGAGGAGAAAAGGATGTCGCGGTAGAAGCGGCGGTTCTCCTCTGTGTTTTCCACTTTGATGTTCTGCAGTCTTTTGCCCATGGTGCCTTCACGAGAACGGCATTCATCATCAGCCGCACGTGCAATCTGCAGCTACAGAAAACAACTACCCATGCCGCGTCTCACCTGTGGATTCATCTGCAGCCAGGATTCCCTTTCCTGAAACCACAATCTTCTGAGCTATTTCAGATAGCTCCTTCTTCATCTCCGGAGACAGGGCTGGGAATTGATGAGTCATCCTAAAGGCAACAACAAGAACAGTTGGAAGGTTTTTCTAGCTGGCCTGAGGAAGGTTTGACCTTTTCTCCAGAAAACAAAACGCCTAACAGATCCGGCTTCTCTTGCATCACTTCAGCAGTTAAATATTTGGACTGAACGGCTGACCTTTGGCATTCTACACAGATAAGTTCTCAGTGCACAACGAGTCAGTTCACCTGAAGCTGTTTGCAGAGGAAAGTGTTAAAACTGCTGCAGTGCAAGAATTTAGAGTTGGCCATGAGTTACAGTTAGATGCAACTGCACAAACCAAGACTATCAGCAGTATCATTAACTATTACATATTTAATATAAACCATTTATTAATGATTAATTTGTGTTTTTATCAATGTATTGTATTGTAGAAACATTTCAAAGTAAAAACTCACTCATGTTGATTGCAAATTTAGTTAGTAAACTGTTAATTCTAAGCAGTTCCTTGTTAATTAATTATCTAATAATTCTAATGTCAATAACCACATGGAAAACCGCGCACAAGGATGAAAAGTGCTGAAAGTGCATCCAATTTTCTGCAAAGAATCAAGATCAATTTCTGAGAATGAGCAAAGTCCTGCAGACTTACTTTAGAGGTGTTTGTCAAACAGCGGCAGCAGAATAATGACAGATGGACGCTGTTGCCTCCCAGACGAGATCAGACTGATGAAGAAGGCAGAAAGTGGGTGAAAGGCCGTTTTAATGGGGCGGCGGAGGTGGTGGGGGAGGGGCCGGTGATGTGGCGGGGGGAGGCGGGTGTTGATCTGGGAAGGCCATTGGCCCCAGCCACGAGAAGAGGGGCGGTGCGTATTTGTTGTTCATATCAGGATCTGATGATCAAACTAGAAATCATAGTGAAGGGAACGGTTCAGCTTTGAAAGCAGCTCTGTCTGCTTCTGCAGCGCTCAGGCTGCAGAAATGTTGCACTTCAGGTTTAGTTCTCCTAAAGAAAGACCGGGCATGTTCACAAGCAAATGCCACTTTCGATATGAGTTATTTATATGTCGATGTTTACAGCAGCTTCTGTTTTTATTATCACACAAACACGTGACCAAATTTTTCTTTTCCTCCGGTAGAAACCCTATATATATATATATATATATATATATATATATATATATATATATATATGCAATTTCTGCATTATTTTCCAGAATTACAGTTTAAAACAAAGGAATAGTTTTACACTTTATATCATTATAGCTTTAAAAATGTGTTTTTGCACACAGACTAAAGGCAACAATAATTTGTTTATTTTTAACTAAATCACTTTTTTCTAATCTTGACACAGTTATTATTTTCATATGGTGAGTGTGTTGTTTATGCATTATTGTATTTTGTGTTTTTAATGTTGTTTAATGCTTATATTTTAAATGCATTTTCAAATCAACTTTAAAGTTTCTTAGATCAAACCTTCATATAAGCTCCTGAGCTTTTTGCCTCTCCTTGCACCCAATCTATTTTTTTTTCTTATTGTGTGTGAAACTAAACCCATCATGCATAAACATAGTTTAGTAAAACTGAGCTTTGTTGCACCCCACGTACTCAGCATATGACAGCAGATATTAGGTCTTGGACCCTACGGGTTGGGCTTGATTTGTATCTTGCAAATAACGACAAGACAGCATTTACACAACCCGGACTCTGCACCTTGTCCAATGTCATTTTTAATATTGCAGACCAGAGTTCAGTCTTTGTGCGTGCCTTTATTTTTGCACCACCTTTTGAAAGTGAGTCAAGCACACAATGGTTGTCCTCTGAAAAGGGCTGCTTGCTACAACAAGTCAGTGAGTTGGTTATTATAAAACTTGCGTGGGACAATTTTTGGTTTGGATATTTTAGTCAGTACAATGAGGCAAAATCCTATAGCTGTACATCTATCTTCCCTGCAGCAGGCAGCAAACAAAAGAGGAGTAAGGTCCATAAGACAACATTCCTGAGATTATGGATGGAAATCTTCCAAGTTTATTACAACTATCCTTTGGCCTTAGTATTTATTTTTAATTCTAGAGAAGATAAAATATGTTGCGACTATAGCAGCGGAAGTATTTTAGTCATTGTGGGAGAAAACAAATCTTCCAAGGTGACGTGGTTTGTATGTGGCGGCCTTATCATGCAGATGAGTCCTGGACTTTGGTTAAACTCTGAAATTACCAAATAACAAAGCTAGATAAATTAGATAATGAGTTAACAAATATTCTCTGAGTTGCTTTCAAAAATAAACAGTCTGCGTCATCTACTGTGCAATAGCTTGTTTGCCATTTGAGGGTCAGCCTGCAAATGGCTGATGATGAGGCAAACAAACAATTTAAAATATTCTATAGCAAGGTTATTTCAGAATTAAAAATTGTGTAGTTTAAATATCTTTTTTAGATGTGTGTATGTTGTCCTCAGCCAGGGTTAAATACACATTATAGCATTATAATGGGTGTTGATGCTTGAAATCTGTGTTTCAGATGCAAATAAATCATCTGATGATTCTTGACCATCTTTTCTGATCAGTTTATAAGCATTAAATCGTAAAATGCTGCAGAGTGTTTCACACTCCGATACAGCAGGTGGTGCTTTTGCGTCAGAGCGAGTGCTAAAGCGGGTCCTCTGGAAACCGTTGCCACTTCCGTTTCCGTTAGGCAAGAAGCCGCAACATCAACATTTACTAACACATTTAGTTAATAACTCTTACATTTAAAATTGGTAAGATTTCAGCTAGGCGTTGTCGACGCAGGTCCACAACGATGTGGTCGCATTAGTCTGTTGGTTCAGGATTAAAGCTGGTCAGATTTTCGGCTAGCTTTAGCAGATGGCCAACGTTAGCTTAATTACTGATTTCGCTACTTCAGTCTTTAAAATGTTAAAACTGGTCATATTTGTTCATTTATTTGAGAACGCTTACTATATTAGATCGTTGCAGTCGAAATACATACTTTAAATTAATCCCCTAAATCTGATCTACAATATACTATTTTATCTTTTTAGGAGGATGTCGGGGCAGAAACGTCCCGCTGACCCCTGCGGATCGTCGTTCTCCGGAGCCCCGCCTGAGAAGCGGAGGGAGCGCGAAGGAGAGGACGGAGGTCCCGGTGTCAGCGCCGCGGCCGGTGGTAGCACAGCGGTGGAAACGGTCATCAAACTGGGAGGAGTGTCCAACTCCGTGAGTCTTACTACTGCAGATTACTAATCTAACATGTATTGGTTTTATGGACACACGAGTAATGTTCTTCCAGGAAGAACAAGACATCAAGGCTCTCCAAGCAAAGAACCGCAAGTTAGGTGAAGCTCTAGATCAAAGACAGGTGAATTTCTAATCTTTATTTCAGATCAACACCCAAACACAGGATTCTCCAGCAGAACTGTGACATTTACTCTTGGTTTGTTTGAAGGTGATTGAGGATGAGCTGCGAGAGCGAATTGAGAGACTGGAGACCCGGCAGGCCACTGATGATGCCAGTCTGCTCATCCTTAACAGATACTGGAACCAGGTGAAGAAGTAGAAGAAAGTATCCTGGATTATTTGTCCTTAGAGTCCAAGTGTGACATTATGCTAATTTTTTTTCCAGTTTGATGACAATATTCGGCTCTCCGTCAGGCGCTATGATGGAGCAAACGGCGAACCAGAGAAATCACCCTCAGGTGAGGGTCGGAGCCTGAAGCCAGAAACCCCAGAACCTGATGGAGACTCCAACCAGGAGAGGGCCAAAGACCGAGGTAATGAGACCTGAAATCTGAACATCATAATGATATTTTAAAAAAAGCAGAACCTTAATAAAAATTGTATGTCGCTCAGGTCATCAAGGAGAGACCTCCAACTCCTTCCTGGCCACACTGGCGAGCAGCACCAGTGAGGAGATGGAGGCAGAGCTCCAGGAGAGAGTGGAGAAGAGCCAGAAGCAGGCCAGTCATGTTGTGGAGATCTACAAACATCTGAAGAGCAGCGTGGACCAGCTCAAGGCAGAGCTGGACTCTGGAGATGGTGAGGAAAAATAAATAACCTGTGAGATTTAGAAAGCTGTGATTATAAATAAATGTTGCCCTGGAGAAAAATGTCAACCAGTTTGTGCTTTTTACGGATTGATTTGCAGATGGGAGTTTGAAGCAGGTCACCTCCAAACTGAATTCCCTCCTGACACGTGAAAACGAGCTGCTGCAACAGCTGACTGAAGACCTGAAGCAGAAACACAGTCACATGACCAGCGAGGTAAATCATAGTTCCTTTCTTAGAAAGTTATCTCGAGCCAGAATCGGTCAAATAAACCCCAATCAGGACTTATGTAGTCTGTTATTACAATAGAATGTCAGTAAACTCTAAGGATCTCTTTTAACATGAATATCAAATTGTTTTTGCTTGTTCCTTTATTTAAAAACGAATATCTAGTCATTTATATTTTTTATACAAAGCAGTTGTTTAGAGAGCGTTAAGATCCTGTGAGCTCTGGTCCTCTCTGCAGTCGCGGTCTCTGGGTCGGGCAGCGAACAAAGCGGATCAGCGCGTCGGCGAGCTTCAGGTTCGGATCGAGGAGCTCCAGTGGGACATGGAGAAGATCCGTCGCCGAGAGAACAGACTGAACGCACACCTGAGCGAGGTCCTGGAGAGGGTGAGAGCGATGCTAATAACTGTGTCATGGCAGCACGATGTGCCTGTGGAAGTGACTGTAACACCACCCGTGTTCTCCAGGTGAACAGTAAAGGCTATAAGGTGTGTGGAGAGGCCAGCAGTGTGTGTGGAACCATCACTATTAACAAGAGAAAGGTACACTTTCTTTTGCTGTTATTTTTGTCATTAGGAATTATTTTAGGGGTGTTCTGTAGGTTTTATGGTTTTGTTTCAACTTTTATTTTGAAACTAGTTTGAGGACATGAACAGTGAGCTGGAGGAGAACACGGAGCTGGCAGAAAATCGCTCTGTTGAGCTGCAGAAGCTGCAGCAGGACCTGCAAAATGTCCAACAGGAGAACAACAACATGAAGGTACCAGTGTTACGTCAGCTCCACGATCCCAAATATTCAGCCATATTATCATAAACTCAGAGAGGCTACAGTATATGAGTGCAAATTAACATTTCTGCCCCAAAATATTCCTGGCTCAATTTACTCGTCCACAGAAAAAAATTGCAAAATTAGTCAATTTTTTCAATGGAGGGACAGAAAAATGACTTTTTTTTTCTTGTCTAACTTTCTCAACTTGCAGACGGAGCTGCTGAGTCGAGCTGAAGGTTTCGTTAAAGAGACCTCAGAGTATCGCTGCCTTCAGTCCCAGTTCTCTGTGCTTTACAACGAGTCCCTGATCCTCAAAGCTCAGTTAGATGAGACACGCGCTCGCCTCAACACCACCCGGACGGCACGGCTTCGGCAGCTGGACCACATGGAGGTGTGTGTGTGTGTGTGTGTGTGTGTGTGGTCGGTGTGGGATTGTGTGTTTTCGTCTCTTGCTTATTTTCATCTCGCCTGAGTGCAGAACGATGAGGTGGCTCTGCAGAGGAAAGTACGCACCGAGGTGTTTCAGCTGGAGGACACACTGGCTCAGGTGAAGAAGGAGTACGAGATGCTGCGCATCGAGTTTGAACAGACTCTCGCAGCCAATGAGCAAGCAGGTAACTGGCGTTTCTGATCAAATAAAGTCCTTCCTTGATCTATATTGTCTAACTCCCCCCCGCCCCCTCCTAGGTCCCATCAACAGAGAGATGCGTCACCTGATCAGCACACTGCAAACACACAACCAGCAGCTGAAGGGGGAGGTGGTGAAGTACAAGCTGAGACTACGAGAGGCTCAATCTGAGCTCAACCAGGTACGTCACAGTGAACGAGGGAAGGGTCATCATCATAAATATATGCTACTGCTTGTATTTGGGCTGAAAAAGTTTAATCTTCTCGTCTTTTAACACATTCATTAACTCCGATGACTACTCTATTGAGCGTTAACACTCCTTTATTTTGTCCTTTGGAAGTCTATCGCTCTCTTGCTCTAAACACAGCTTTAAAACCTGCGAACGTGCATTCTGCGTGTATCCATTAAACACGATCGCATCAACGAGATACGAGAGAGGAAGTTGTGAACCCGTGGGCGGAAAAATACATCATAAGAATACATTTCTGTAATATGATTTCAGTGTTTCCCTTAGGAATTTTTCCAGCTGTGGCGGTGGGGCCGGCGGGGGGGCTTGGGGAGAAATTATGACACGTCTCTAAACAAAGTAAAATTTTCTAGTGCAAAGTGGAGCCAACCCATAGAAGCACTGATTTGATCTCATTTCAGAGAAAAATAACAGGTTAGATGCACCTAATAAATAAAATTACTAACAAACTCAGGAATCTGTTTCTTTGCTTCACTGTTCTGGTGCTGAGAATATCACTCATGCGGATCAAAGGAGATACACAGATGAATGCACCTCTTATTTATTATTTGGAGTCTACATTTACTGCAGCTGGCAGAGGCAGAGATTGTTTCTATTGATACACGGAGTTTACAGAATCATTTTAAATTTTAATAGGGGAAGACTGCAGGAGGGAGCGGTAAAATACAGGGGGTCCTCAGCAAAAATAAGAAACTTTACGAGTCTGATGAAACCCGCTGGTTTTCCATCAGGCAGTCACGGGGCAGCTCCAACGACCCAGTGGCTGTGCTGGGTCAAAGTTATCGAGCTCATTCCGGTGCCGGTACAAGATCTGCTCGGGTGCAAGATCGGCTCGGGGTCCGTCGACTGCTGATGACGTCTAAGTAGTTGATTGGCTGAACATGAACCTTACGGAATTACGTAATCACGTTACGTTGTTATCACGTTACGTTGGTCCAGGCAAATCTTTCTGTTGGAAAGATGGACAACTTTTACAAAGAAATCCATCATTACCTCTTTGAAAATACACTTTTAGCATAGAGCTGCATGTATTTTAGGGCTGAACGATTAACTGCATGTGCAATTAAATTGCGATGTGACAAAAGGAGATTTTCTAATTGCAAAGGCTGCAATTTGGCAGCGAGTGGTTAGCGCAATGCTAATATACGTGGAAAAACCCATAGGAATGCTAATGCTAATATCACCAATTACATTATTACAAATTATGAATTAGAAACGTGCCAAATGATTACATTTGGAGTTAATAGAAAGTAAAACTACCATCAATCAAATAAGTACAGACAGGTATTTTAGTAAAGCCAGCGCTATGGTGGAAACAGCTGCTTATGAGGCCATGCTCAGCAACCTGAAAGGGGACAAGCACACAGAATGGAACAGCTTTTGGGGAACATTGAAAAAATTTACATAAAACTTTGAAATCTAATGCCTCACTGTCTTGATTTGGATTCCTAACTGACCCCGAATTAAGTATGGCTACTGGTCTTTATAGCTGTAATAGCTGAACCCGAAACTCTTAGAATCATTGGTACCCTGGAAAAAAAAAAGGGGTGGGGGGGGGGCAGGCCTGTGTGTTTTCTTTTGTTTTTGTATGTTCTTGTATGTTATAAAAAATCTTAAAATAATAAAAACATTAATTATAAAAAAAAGAAGAAACCATTTTTTTTATTATTTATTATTATTTTTGAAGATAATCAGTTTTTCATGCAGGCTGAACATGGAAATAGTCTCCCACACCTGTCTCCTGCTTTATCTTGTGAATGAAAACAGACGGTGAAACGCTAGGATTAGAAAAGCCTGACAGATCTACATCACACTGTCACTGAACATTCATGGACTCGCCCATCATGACTCACGATGAGGAAGGCTGTTGTTGGTTTAGCGCCCAGGAAACTGCAGAGAACGTCTCGACTAGTAGAAGCTAACTGTTAGCAATAAGGAGAACATTTTTGTGGAACATTCTGGACTATATATGTCATGGTTTTGAATCTTTGCAACAAGAAACATACGTTCGCATGAAGGAAGTATATCTATCTGCTCATGTAGCCTATAGGAGCAGTAGACACGTGATAAATATGTTAAGGTACTTTTTAATCCGTCCATTTTCGGCCGCTTACCCAGGGTCGGGTCATGAGGGCAGCAGCCTAAGCTGGGGGGTCCAGACTTCCCTCTCCCCACCCTAACCCTGACCCAATCCTAAATTGTTCTCTGACCAGCTGATAAACACAAACCTAAAGGAAGACCCAGGACACGTTGAAGGGACTATGTCTCTCAGAGAGCATGGTCTCGAGGTTAGAGGAGCCGATTCTCATCCCAGCTGCTTCGCACTCGGCTGCGAACCGCTCCAGCGAGAGCCGCAGATCACGCTCTGAGATCAGTCACAAGTTATCTATGAAACTCTTGCAATTAATCGTGATTAAAATTATTTGTTGATTGACCGCCCTATTAAAAAGTTGTCTGATGGTAGAAGAGAAGCAAAATTCCCTCTAACACATCTGTTTTGTGTGCAGCTTCGTGCTTCAAAGGGAAGCGCCATCCTCCAATCACAGTCCAGCACAGAGATGGATGTGAAGGAGGAGACGACCTCTCCGTCAACCGCGGCTGTTTCTGCGGAACCTGCCGTGAAGACAGAACTGGACAATGACTCGGCGCCCGGCGGCACCAGTAACTAACATTTACTTTAACACGCTCAAAGCTTTGATTCAGAAAACATCTAAAGGATTTCATCGTTTCCCTTTTTGTCGTCGTTTTTTCTGAAGGTGCTTTGGTCAAAATGGAGTCTGGCGTAGAACCAGAGGTGAACGTGAAGGAGGAAGAGGAGAAAAAAGAGAAGGAGGAAAAGAAAGAGGTGATTGTAAAGAAAGAAGAGAAGGAACGGGAGCGAGAGAAAGAGAAGGAAAAGAACAGAGAGAGGCCCACCCGGAGCAGCAGCAGCAGCATCGTCATGAAGGAGGAGAAGGAGAAGCCGGGGAGCAGCAGCCAACCGGAGGAGGTCAGCGGGGATCGGCTGGCTGTGGTCGGAGGGTCAAAGAGGAAGGAAGTGGAGCAGCTGAAAATCGTCCGAGCAGAACTCAAGTGTGTTTGAGATTCACGTTGTAGTAATTATTCAGGCGGTGAAGTTTAGTTCTGTAGAGGAAAGTATTGAGAAATATTAACGGTCATCGGATCTGAGCAGGAAAGCCCAGGAGTCCCAGAGGGAGATGAAGCTGCTGCTGGACATGTACCGGTCAGCACCGAAGGAGCAGCGGGACAAAGTTCAGCTCATGGCTGCAGAGAAGAAGACCAAGTCAGAGGTGAACCATAACAAACCATCTGGGTTTAACCTTTGTTTTAGGTGATTTAATCTTAATAATTCTCCTGTTCTCAGGCTGAGGAGCTGCGACAGAGGCTGCGGGAGCTGGAGGAGAGGGAGAGGAGGGAGGGCAAGAAAATGGCCGATGAAGAGGCTCTACGGAAGATTCGCTCTGTGGAGGAGCAGATAGACATCCTCAACAAGAAGCTGTCCATAGCCAAACAGGTCTGTGAGCTGTTGCCTTTAATTCCTCTAACCGGGTTAGGGTTTGCTCCGTAACGCTCGCGCCTCCGTGCAGGAAGAGGACGCCCTGCTGAGCGAGATGGACGTGACGGGCCAGGCTTTTGAGGACATGCAGGAACAGAACATTCGTCTCATGCAGCAGCTGCGGGAAAAAGACGATGCCAACTTTAAGCTGATGAGCGAGCGGATCAAGTCCAACCAGATCCACAAGCTTCTGAAAGAGGAGAAGGAGGAGCTGGCTGATCAGCTCCTCACCTTAAAAACTCAGGTGAGACATCCTAAAGCACCTTCAGTGAAAATCAATAATCAAACAGTCAAACTTTTCCACAGCTGCAGCAACCTCCATGCACCGTTTTCCTGCTGCTGCTTGTGTTAAAACCGTTTTGTGATTTTATTTCTGTTCCACGGTGTTTGTGGGGCTGCACCCTCCAGGTGGACGCACAGCTGCAGGTTGTGAGGAAGCTGGAGGAGAAGGAGCGCCTCCTGCAGGGCACCATCAGCACTGCAGAGAGAGAGCTGACGCTTCGAACGCAAGCTTTAGACATGAACAAACGCAAGGTTCGTTTAAACCGTCGAGACGTTCAGGGGTGAGTCGCAAACACCTGGGTGTAGGGGTTCAACAGAATTACTGACCGTGAGGCGCTCTGTCCTCCAGGCTCAGGAGTCGGCGCTGCTGTCAGAAGAGCTACGGGCTCAGCTGGAGCAGGTCCAGCAGAAGCTCAAACTGGTCAGAGAGGAGGTGGTTGAGAACAGCATCTCCAGGGAAAAGGAGTCCTTCAATGCCCGGCGAGCTCAGGTAAGAACGGCCTGCAGGTGTCAGCGGGGATGCACCCATTATCTCAGAGTATGAGAACTAGCATTTGGGTACTTCCTGATGCAGAGTACTAATAAATTATCATTACTCTCATTATAAGTGGTTTATTTCCATTAGGCACATTATGCATAGACTATAAATGTATTCTATTACTACATAACTCTATTACTCTTGTATTTTGCTGCCATAGGACCACCCTTACTGTAACACGGTGGTACATACTTACACTGAGTCTTTGTAATAAACAGCAGCATCTTTTACTGGTTTTGCCAAATCTTACTTTACCTTAAACCAGTGGTTCCCAAACTTATTGAGCCGCGCACCCCCTTCTATGTCATATATGTGTATATATATATATATATGTGTGTGTGTGTGTGTGTGTGTATATATATATATATATATATATATATATATATATATATATATATATATATATATATATATATATATATATATATACACATATATGACATAGAAGGGGGTATATATATATATATATATATGTGTGTGTGTATATATATACACATTATATATATGTATGTATATATGTATATATGTATATATATATATATATATATGTATATATATGTATATATATATATATATACACATATATGTGTGTATATATATATACACATATATGTGTGTATATATATATATATACACATATATGTGTATATATATATATATATGTGTGTATAAATATATATATATACCTGACGTCACGCTAAACCAGGGGTCGGCAACCTGTTCCCATCAAAGAGCCATTATTACCCGTTTCCCACAGTAAAGAAAACACCGCAGCAGCCGCGGCATTGTGGGCGGGGCCTACCCTCAGACAGCAGAGCGCTGCTCACAACAGGTGACATCAGCCGGTACCGGTCGCTCGTGTACGTCAAAGTTATCTTTCATAAGACTATAATCAATAAAACGATTTATATAAAGTGGATCCAGAAGTTGTAGCCCGTCTCTGCCTACAACATTTTGATATTTTTCACCCTGTTGGTGGTTTTACTGAGCAGGTGCCACTTTTGTCATAGGTTTCTTTTTAAAACATGTTTAGACTGTTCAGAATACAAATCAAGGCTCCGTCACGTTTGATTGTTGTAATTAAACTTTGTAGGTGGGGAAGGTCAGAAAAGGATCCGATCAATTTGTTTTTCCCTCATTTACAGTGACGGAGATAACGGCGCAGTGCGCCTGGCTCTGGTGGTAATCAAGTTTAATTTGTAACAATTTTCACAAGAAAACAGAACAGTTAAAAGCAGGGCTTGTGTTGACCAGACAGTTCCTGTATTTGCCCATTTATTTTGACGGAGAAAGAATAGAAAGAATTACCCCGACGCATGCAGACGAACTGACACTTTATTCGTTTCGCAAATCGCAGATGTAGCTAAATCACTCAAGAAAAGATTTCCTTCTGAACATCTGAGCTGGACACTGCTCAGTCAGCGCGTACATAAGGTGCACAGCGAGCTGAAGTTGTGGAGAGGGGCTTGGAGCGCGTTGCAGAACCAGAGCGCATGCGGGAAGATTCCTTCCACTGAAGCGAGAGTTTTCCAAACCCTGTCTCTCAGAGAGACTTGTCACTTAGAAAATGTTCTCTGATGAAGAAACTTTGGCTGAATTGTGCTTGTTCCTGTCTCCAATGTGGCGTCTGAGGAGAGTCCCAGAATCTCACATCCTCTTCAGCTCAGAAAGCGCCTATGATTACGCACAAGCGTGACTCGTCAACCCGGTCTCACAGTAAGACCGGGTTGGACCTGTTCAGGTTTACGCAGACAATCTTTACATTTAGAATTGGCTTACAGATGTAAAATTAATGCAGTAAAATATAAAGCATTTTATTTAAACATCCATTCCATCAGATGGATGGAAGAGCCACGGATTGCCGACCCCTGAGCTAGGGCATGTGCGGAGGACACACACACACACACACACAAGCAAAATATACTTGTTTTCAATTACATTTATTGCGCCCACTTACATTTTCTTAGGCCCACCCACAAATGAGTTTCTGGCTACGCTAATGGTGACATTTGACAGACTTCTCTGAGCTCCGCAGCCATTACACTTTTCACCTCGCGCACCTCCTAGCGGCAGCTCGCGCACTCCCAGGGATGCGCGCACCCCACTTTGGGAATCCCTGCTATAAACAATGAGTCTCCAGACATTTGAACTGGACCTAGAAATGATTTCCTAAAAGGGGAAAGGTAAAACAACGACAGCCGTGCTGCGGCTCTAGTTTTTTATTCATGACGTTGAACGTAGTGTTCCTGAAGCTAGAGAACATTTTCCCACCAGCACAGAGAACAACCAAGCGTGCATCTCTCTCCGCTCTTCGTCGTTCACGTTTATGTTGCTTCCTGTTTGGAGCACGTGAGCTGGCCTCATGCTGATGCCGCTCACCGAGACTCCAGAAGAAGGAAAATATGTGTGGAAAATTATAAAAATAGTAACACAGGAGTTTAATCTGAGTATTAGTACTCGTACTGAAAACAGCGGTCGTATTAGAGTTACCGGCCTCTAGATCAGTGGTTTCCAACCTTTTTCCCAAAGGACCCCGTTTTTTACCAGTAAAATTTTTGACGACCCCCTCCCATTCTCTCTTCCAGTACAAACAGTATTAAGAAATGATAAAATTGTTCAAGCACATTTTAATATGCGTTGATTGAATAGATAACAGTAATAGTAGGCTCCAGTACAGAACAAAGTCATTAACAAAACCAAACAGAGCATAATGTGCTTGACAGTTTGTATTAATTCTCTGAACACATTGTTTCTTGTAAACACTGATAAATCGATCATTCCTTTCAATAAACGTTTGACACATAAAAAATACACTGAGTAAAATGTACTTAAATGTGTATATTACTGTTTATACTAGATTATTTACTGTAAAGGCTGTGATTAATCAACCAGTCCTATCTTTAATGAACTTTTGACACTTGAAAAAAACAGTGAGCTGAGCAAAATGTTCTTAAAAGTGTGTTACTTTTTCTGTACTAATTATTTCCTGTCTTAATATCAGTAAACTTTTCACTCATGAAAAAAAATGTGAGCACAATGTAGGCTAAACAAGTAATAAATGAAGTTTTAACCCCTTAAAGTGGAGAGGTCCTGGCGACCCACTGAGAGGCTTTGGCGCCCCCTTGTGGGGGTCGGGACCCCAGGTTAGGAACCACTGCTCTGGCTTATCCACTGAAATTACATCCTGAACATCACATCACTGCTGTTCACCAGGAAACAGACTCGCTGTAGCTCAGGAGATAGAATGAAGTTGTCTAGTAATCGGAAGGTTGCAGGTTCAATCCCGTCTTCCGCCAGAGAATGCTGCTGTTGTGCCCTTTGGCAAGACACTAAACCCACTTTGACTGCTGGTGGTGGTTGGAGGGACCGGCGTCTGGTGCCTGTGTATGGCAGGCCGCGCCCCAGGGCAGCTGTGGCTACACCGTAGCTCAACCCCACCAGCATGTGAGTGTGTGTATGACTGATTGTGTTGTAAAGCATCTTGGGGGGTTGTAGAACCCTAAGAAGGTGCCATAGAAATATCTGTTGTAATTAATCTGCATTTTTTTCCCCCAACCTTTGGGATGAAATTGTGGCAAAATGTCTCCAACAACTGTTGACCATGTCCATTGTTGTTAATTTAGTGCTTTTATATGTAATAAGTGAAAGAATCCAACTTTCTGCAGATTAATCTTTCTCTAAGCTCACAAACGGCTCTATTGTTGGAGTTTTGCAAGTGTTTTGACCCAAAGCCTGATCCCAAATCCTCAGAGAAGGGGAAACCCAGATTTCAGCTAAAGAGTAGCTGTTAGTGAGGAATGATTCTCATGTTGGAAGAAGATTTTTGTATTGATTTGCTGCTCAGTAGTTTAAACCTGTAACATGTTTTAGAAAAGGACACCACTGCTGATTTCTAGGGTTGTGGGTTCGTTTCCTTAAGGCTGTTTTTGGTTTTCAGGAGGACATCTCTAAACTGAGGAGTAAGATAGAGAAGGCCAAGAAACCAGCTGAGAAAATCAGCAACGGAGATGACATCCTGAATGAAGAGATTAGTGAATACAAGGTAAACTCGGCCTGCATCACTGGTCAGATTAAAGTCTCTGCCTTTAAACTGTTAACTTTGACCCACGGTGTCATGAGACACTTCTGTCTCTCACTGTGCGAAGATTAGGATACACACACCATAACTTTTATGGTTTTTACTCTTAAAGAGCATTTTTGTGGATTTATTCTTTGTTAATAATAACCCTGGTTAGAAAAAGTAGGATTCTAAAAACGTAATAGTTTGATTTTAGGTTTTTGTTGATCTTTATTCTAATAGTATGTTGAATGAACCTGTAATAAAACACTAGCACAATCAACAGTATCAAACGTTTCCACGTTTATCTGTAAAGCTGTAATTGTTTATAACCTATATAATTAAAAGAAACGTGGTTCTCCAAAGCCTGGAGTGTTGCCATAGTGTGTTGGGGCCAGGAGAGCTGATTGCTCTGACCTCCAGCAGAGGGTGAAGGGGTGTTTTTAGTTCCCAGCAGGCCAGGAGAGCTGATTGCGCGGTCGGGCGCAGAGGCCCGTCGTGACCTTTAAAGAGCCCCAGCAGGCTCCAGGAGTGGAAACCCGTGTCGGGCCCAGCTCACACAGGTCCTCCCTGGTGCCCTGCAGCAGAATTGTTTTAGAGCCCTTTTGTTGGCATAATCTCATATTAATGTTAGCTCTTACACCTGGGAAAAAATGGGTCTCAATGTGGTTAGTGTAGCGTTGACATAGTGTGACATCATCAGTAAGCACAGACCCTCTGTCTTCTTTTGGAAATGGAAATGTGGTCATCTTACTTTAAATGATAGAATTTCTCAAACGCAGAAGAAACACAGAATATACAGCCTGCTGTGTGTGTGTGTGTGTGTGTGTGTGTGTGTGTGTGTGTTCAACACCACCCTCTAGAGTGGCTTCCTAAATGGACGTGCCACCGCTGTTGTGCTCTTGGCAAGTTTCAGCCCCAGCTCTGTCAGCACAGCCCTGATAAAAGGGACTTGAGCAAACACTCACACCGTTTACAGTACCACGCTCCTTCGTATAATCCGTGCATGTGCACGGGCACGCAAACTAGTAAATGAGTTATTCTAAGTGTCACTCATGCGAGAACAGAGATTCTTTATTTTGACTCACATCACCCCCTCCTCTCACTCTCTCTCCGTCTCCCAGGCTCGTCTAACGTGTCCGTGCTGCAACTCCCGTGTGAAGGATGCTGTCCTGACAAAGTGCTTCCACGTCTTCTGCTTCGAGTGCGTCAAGACGCGCTACGACACCCGCCAGAGGAAGTGCCCGAAATGCAACGCTGCTTTTGGAGCAAACGACTTCCATCGCATTTACATCGGCTAAAACGGCCATCGGCCTCTCTCCGTTTGGGACAAAAAGGCTCGGCGGTGGCAGAAACTCGGCCTGAAGCAAACGACCTCTGTTCTGCTCATCTGGCACGATACTGTGGACGTGGAGTCACGTGACGATTTTAGGGATGGAAGAGCTTTTACGATGACTGATGCCTGTTCCGTCCTGTAGCCACGAGTTCACTGACGCTTACTGGGGCAGAAAGAATTGTTTCTTCACACACTGAATGCAGCTTGTGGTGCATTTGTGTGCTCCCATTTGGAAAATCAGGCCTTTTGAAACCATGTTTAATAAATAAAAATAAGTGCAGTTTAAAAATAACATTCCTTTTAGTGTTGCTGATCTAATGAATCTGTGTATGTTTATTGTAAATGTCTCTTTTTTTAAAATAGAAATCTTTTTTTATCTTTAATCTAGTTTTGGTGGTTTTTCTTTAATAATCTAGTTTTTGTGGTGTAGTGGATGTTATGCACAATATTAAACTGTCAGAGCTGTGCTGCCTCTGCCTCCTTTAGAGTGATCTAAAACACTGATGCTGCTGTCCTGCTGTCTTTTTGCTCTTGCCTCAGAACTTGCTGAATACGAGCTTTATCCATCACTGTCATATCTAATGCTGCGTCTCACTCAGTGCTGTATGTGCACATCCAAACTTCCATTGATTTCAGTTTAAATTCCATTTCAGAAAATTCTCTTCAAAGCTTTTATATTCCTACACAAAACACTAGACTCACAGACTCGGACACGCCCTCTCGACTCCTTTCACACAATGAGGGATTTTTTATTTTGTGACCCTGAGGCTTACAGTCAGAAAACCGGTGCATTGTCACCATGGTAACCCTAATGAGCCACTGTTGGCAGCTTTAACATTTCACTCTTGATTCTCTTCAGCTGCACTAGACTGAAAAAAAATGTGTCTTTATTCTGGATTATTACATTTAATGTTGGATTTTCAGCCTGTGGCAAACTTAAAAAAAATAGAAACGCAAATGAATGTGAAACAATGTAAAGACCTAAATTTGGGAATAAATAATTACAACATATGTATTTATTTATAAATACAATTCTTTAGTTTCAACTTTATTTCCTCGTTTATTTCATTTTCTATTTAGGCAGAACCACAATTCCCAGAGTGCAAATCTGTGTTTATCCTCCAGGGCCTCCCCTTTCCCTCCCTCCCTCTCTTCCTCCTCTCCTCTCTGAACATCCACCCAGACCCAAGCAGGTCGTTGGAAACGCTGGAAGGAAGGGAGTGGTGACCGAGAAGGTTTTCCTCTGTTGAGACGCTTGAGCAGCAGCCTATCCATCGCAGCAGAGCCTGTTTTGATGCAGGATCAGGGACAAAGCAGCTCGAACGTGGTGCCGCGCGCGCGTGTGTGTGTGCAGCTAAAATAGGCGGTTGAAGCCTCGCCGCGTTGTTTCCGTTTTTTTCCTTCTAAATCTGCAAAATAAAACTCCTTCACCGATCTTCCAGCATTGCCTGAAACCGCTCGTCCTGACAGCTGATTATAAACCCGGACGCCTTTAACGGAAACCTACTAAAAATAGCAGCTGTTCAAGAGGGATCGCTCTTAAGAAGAGGAGCCGCTCTGGATTTGGGTTGCTAAGAGCTCAGATCTTCCTTTGATCCTGCTGATTTTGTCTCTTTTCCACCGAGGACCCGAGTCAGCTGGAACTGCTTTCTCCTATCCTCTCGCTAACTGAGATGCCAGTCAGAAGCTTTCTGTCGCCTCCTCCCAGCAGCAGCAGCAGAAGCCATTTTTAAGTCTTTGATTTTTCCTCCTCCCTTCTGCAGATTCAAACCTGTGTGCGCGCGCACTCCTCCTCCTGTGGTTCGGACACGGACTGTATAATCATGGCTAGGGTTAGGTTAGCTGCACGTGTTCTGCTTCTCCTCGTGGCTCTGGGTTGTTCTGGCGCCGAGGCTAAAGCCGAGCGGGCCGCCAAGACGGAGGAGAGCCCGCCGGTGGTGACCCTGCGCACCGTCATCACCGGAACCTGCCAGGAGGTCCAGCGGTACGCAGAGTCGGTGCTGGGAACCAACGTGATACGGTCAGCTGCTGAGGTACACACACACACACACACACACACACACACACACACACACACACACACACACACACACACACACATACACACATACACACACACACACACACACTCGGGAAATGGATTTACTCTAAACTTCTTTCTTTCATCTTTAACCCTCCTATTGTCTCCTGCTCATAAATCTATCTGAGAAAAGATTTGTATTTTTTGTATCTGATTGACCTAAAACTCCACCTTTGTGTTTGTCCACGTGAGATAAATAATCGCACAAATACTTTTTGACTATTTTTGCTAAATTAGAAACTCACTGATTACAAAGAATTTGCAGCAGATGCACACAAGACTCCTCAACTGTCAGATCTATTCGTTTTTAGTGGGGACCCCATCACACACACACACACATCCTCAATGGACCACACCATTGGTTCCCTCTCTGGACTGGTGAAAGACCTCCAACCACCACAAGCAGAATCTACTCCAGTGGTTCCCCAACTTGTCGGCCTTTGGCCCACTTGTGACCTTTTTAAGTTTTACAGAACTTGCTAAAAAAAAGAGCCTTCTCACTCTTTAAACCACCTTCATCTAGTCGTGGTCGCAGGTTCTCTGATCTTTGGATCAGATAAAGCTCATCACTGCATCCTGGTTTAACTCTGACCTGCTGACAGGTGTTGGCTCATTTACCTCGGGGACGTGTAATTAAGAAGATGCATTAAATGATAAATTATGAGTCTGTAAGTAAAAACTTCCACATGTAGGACCTGTTACTGCGTGTGAACTAGCTCTTGGTGATGGTGAGTTCACAGACCTAAAATAAATCAGATTTATGAGCGTCACATTTCCCGTTTGAATATTAACCATCAGGTCTTTATTTGTTTTTGTGACTAAACGTCTCGGTCGTTTTTAGACTGGGTCAGCGTTCAGTGAGTCAACAGGAGGGTTAAGATCCTAACTGGGCTGTTCTAATGTTTGGTGCGGTGTTCACTAACTTTCAGCTGTCACTTCTCTCCTTCACCCTCTCACACACATTCCACTCTCTCCAACTTGTTAATCTTCCTCTTGATCCCTTCGTCTTCCCTGCCCTCGTTTTTTCTCCATCCATCCACACATCTCTTGTATCTCCACCCATGCTGTGGCTTCCTCCTCCTCAGAGTGCAGTGCAGTTTCTAGAGTCACTGCTTGGTCAGGAGAACGTCCTTACAGTGGCTTCGGTAAGAAACATGGGTGTTGTCAACATTGGGGGGGGGGGGGGGGGGGGGGGGGCAGTTTGAGCCCATATCACACCTGTAGCTGGAGCACAACGTAGGAGCATGATTAGTGACGTTTGCATGTCAGAATGTAGCTTTTGTTTACCCGAGAGCTCCTGGAGATCCGTGGTGTTTATGTGCAGCAGGCAAATAATAAGTGGCTCAGCTGGCAGAACGTTGGGTGTGTGCACCCATGCTCGGCATAAAGATGGATTTCTTATGCAAAACCTCCCTCTTACTGAACTTGGCTCTGTTGCAGGAAGAAAGAAGTATGAAAGCAAAATAAATCCTAATTCTGCACTCGGATGTGTCTCAGCAAATAGAACAAAGCACATATGGACTTGTTTTTTCCCCAGGGCTTTGGAAATGATTCCGGCGTCATGCATGCGCTAACATATGGAGCTGTCGCACGGAACAGGTGCAGGTCGACTTACGGGGACAGCCTCGACCACACTGGACTTGAGCTGTTAATTAGGAGCCGCTAAATGAACAGAGCGGAGTGTTTTCCAGCTGTCACGCTCCTGCACAGCTGGCTGTTTAAACCAACAGCAGCTTTTTTATTAACTGTCAGAATTCCCTGGTTAGTGGGTTTCTTCCAGGTGTTGTTGTAAAAGCAATCCTGTAGCTGCCTGCGCACTTTGTTTTTGTCTCAGCACGATCAGAATGTTGTCTCTCCTCATTGTTGTTGAGAATAACAGTTTAACAAGCCTTCCTCTCCCTCCCTCCCTCCCTTCCTGCCCGCCTCAGTTTTCTGAAACAGTGATCCGATTCTTGGCTGAAGGAGCCGCCAGCGGCCTGAACGTCATCGCCGTTTACGTCACAGAGATCCTCAGAGTCACAGGATTCGATGGTGGGTACCGCCGGATGGAAGTCTGCACACTCTGGTTGTTCAGCTTCTTGCTGACTGGGAGCTGCAGCAGAATAGAGTTTGTTGCAAAGAAAGTGATAAGTGCAGGTGAAAATATGTCAGCTCTCCTTGCTGGCAGCCAGCCAGCCACTCCCGTTTAGGTGTGCGTGTTTATTCCTCTCCAACAGGCAGGTATTTCCATCGCTCGGTTCTGTAGCTTAAACTGGATTTCCTGCCTCCACAGTCGCGCTGACGCTACCGCGCTTCACCCCGGAGGGAGTGACCGCCGTCGCCCAGTGGGGTCTGGTGGGCCTCATCGGCTACTGGGTCCTGACCGTCCTTTTCCGTCTGCTGATCGGCGTTTTCAAGCAGGTGTTCTGGGTGGTGAGAATGGTCATAGCGCTGTGGCTTTTCGGACTGATCGTGACGGATAAGCACGCCTCTGCGGACACCACGGCCATTCGAGTGGGAGTCCTGGTGCTGGCGTGTGTCCTGCTGAGTCTGGTCACCTCCAGCTCCGATAAGACCTCCGCTGTGGAGCACCGCCTGGGCAAGCTGGAGAGGCGGGTGAGGGAGGTGGAGAAGATGAAAGCGGAGTAGAGATGAGGTTACAAATGCTGTTAGTGCAGGCCGAAAAAAAAGGGTAAATAATGATTTCTATACCTGGTACAAATTTGGGAAATAAAGTAAACTGACATTTTTAATAGAAATCTGTTTTTTTTTTCACCTTTTATACGGAAATGATGAACTAGTAGGATCATTCTAGTAAACGTCTTCTGTATCTGTGTTGCTATCTGTGTTGGGAGTCAAACAGGCAGAATAAAAAAAAAATACCAAACCGTTCAGAAAGAAAGCAAAGCTGAAGAAATGAGAACAAATCCTTTAAAACTAGAAATACAGAGATCTGCACAACATTAGGCAAACATTCATGTTTGCTGCTTATATTACAATAATATTAGTTATATGAACCCAGATCATCCTTTTTTCTTCTGCCACCACGCCGCTCCTGGTGTGCTCTATAGCAGCTCCACTAACAGCTAACCAGCTGTGGACGTCAGCGAGGATCCATCTGTGGGCTGAATGATGCATCTTTTGTAATAACGTGTTTTAAAAGTTCTACGAACAGTCGAGCTAAAAGGAGGCGTTGGCCAGCTGCACCGACTCCTCACAACAAACGGGAAGAAGATGAATGAATGAATTAATTTTGGAGATATTTGACGAGTTTGGTAAGTTGTTCTGATTGTTCAGGTTAAACTGAGCCACCAGTGAGTTTTTTTTTCTCTCATGGCAACACCAGAAGGTTTGATCAGCCTGGTTAGTTTTATTTATTTCCTACAAGCCTTAGCAGACCTCCAGCTCCCCCAGCAGGAAGTTGTCATCCCCAACTACACAGCAACAATGTTCACCCTCCTCCATCACCTGACATTTTAGACCTGCTGGATGACCAACATCTCGCGGAGGATGACAGACCATTCCTTTGATGCTGTTAATAAAATTCCAGGTAAGGATTTAGGAAACTTTATTTATTTTGAAGGAAAGTCGAGCCATTCCCACCGGCTGGATTCAGAGGGATAGAAATATTTATTTTTCTGATGCATTTAACTCTCATAAAGGTACATTTTGTGTTTACCCAGCCTATTAGTCATTTGGACATTTGATAAAATTATTAAAAATAAACCAAGACAACTTTAGTTTTAATTTGGAGAAACAAATACTAAAATATGAAGAGAAATGATTTGAATGAAAGCCGTAGAAGCAGGTTTGATTTTTATTGACTGACTCATTGAATGGTATACATTAAACAGGTTTTCTGTGTCACCTCTACGGATGCTGGTGGGATTACTTTGGTGTTCAGATATTTCCCTGAAATGTCAAAAGACAAAGTTAGTACACACCGTTCCTATCTGGAACAATAACTGCATCCTAATAAAGCTGACGTTCTTTTAGTAAGAATGGATGGAAGATAACATAAAGCGTTGTTATTATATACACATTAACCTGTAACCAAACCTTATTTAACAGTTGTCTGAAAGCATTTCCTCCTATGACTTTACAAAGACATAATTACATACAGCAGTTACTCCAAGGGATCCATCCTTTCTCATAAATGGATGTGACTGCTGATACTGACTTTACGGCATTTTAGGAAGAAAATGTTTTAGGGGTATGATTAATTCTCAGAATCAAAATGTTTCTAATTTGACCAAAAGTTAAAGAATTTAACTAAAAATTCCTGAAGAATTGATTTAAGAGTAAGTAAGAGCCGCTATATATATATATATATATATATATATATATATATATATATATATATAACTTATTTTGAAGAGCAGATATTTAAAAAGGGAGGAAGAAAACAAAAGTTTAATCCTTTGAGCCAAATTCTTGCTGGCCCCAACCTTTAGGCTATGCTGTTGGAGCGGAAGTACCAAAGCAATGCAACAGACAAGGCTGAAGATGGCTTCCGATTCAGGAAACGGCTAAAGGGTCAATACACCCAATTTTTCTCTACTCTGACCATCTTTAATCTGCTCTAGCTCAAAAACTACAACAGCCGCAGTGTTCAAACCTGTTCTACATTATTCTACTATAATAGCAGATCAAATAAAACACAGTGTGGGATTTGTGAAACCTTTTCCTGATTTGTGAAACCTTTCCCTGATTTGTAGAACTTCGAGCACAGTTTGAGGAGTACATGCTATCCTGGGATTACTGATTTGCTTTATGTGATCCACTTTTATTTTAGACTATCTTTCATCCCTTTTACTAATGAATAAAGACCACTATAGTGGCAAGAAATATTGTAGATTCAAGAAATATTTTAAGAAGGTCCAGTTGTGATCACACAGATGCTAGATCAGGATAGGAGTAGGCAGGTTAACCAGAGTCTGAAATTAGGAAAAATGTCAGTGGAAAATTAGTGAATACATGTTATAAAGCACGATAAATCTTGAAAAACTTTTTCTAATGAACCGTTTTATGTAACACAGGCATCAGCAAAAGCACTCGATAAGGTCCAAGGGCTAGCCAGGGCTGAGGCAGTGGAAAAGATTGAGCATGGTGAGATGGATGAGAGGTAAGACAATCTGAGTCTCTGAAATATATCTGCAAGAAAAAGATTTTTTGTATGTCTTTGGGAATGGATAAATATATAATAACTGAATTTTTTTTTCAGCGAAAAAGCTGAACTTCTCAAATCAGGGAAAGGTTTCACAAATCCCAAACAAGGTTGTATGCAATATGCTATTATAGTAGAATAATCTAGAACAGGTTTTAACAGTATGGTTGTTGTAGTTTTTGAGCTAGAGCAGATTAAAGATGGTCAGAGTAGAGAAAAATTGGGTGTATTGGCCCTTTAGCCGTTTCCCGAATCGGAAGCTAACTTCAGCCCTCGTCAACAAAAGCCGATTTTCTTAGCACATGAATAATTCACTATGATTGAAAAACTCTTCCAGGAATTAATTTTGTTAAGTTGGGTGTTTGATTTGACTTGTGCTGTTTAACTCACTATAGTTGCCTTTCTGCTGCATGCTCACATGTAAAAAAAAATCTGCTTAAACACACCAAGTGCCTCGTTTTCTAAGGTCTCAGACTTCCACCACAGCTTACACTGCCCTCTACTGATGAATGTGGAAAAGTAGAAGTTCTCAGTAAAACCAGACATACTGCAGATGCAAGCGGAAGAATCAACAGAAATATGGTCAGGAGCGCTACTTTATGTGTTAGTTCCCTGCATGGCTTGTGCCTTACTGCTGTGTGACTCTGGGGAAGCAGCTGGTGTGTCGTTAAAGACTTATTTGTTTTAGCGTGAGCTTTTATGTTTGTGTGTGTGGTGATGTAGGATGGTCGGTGGCTGTAGACACAATAAAACATCATATCATTGTAGGAATGGCTTTATTTAACCTGACAAAAAGTATAAATACACAGACACGTGTTTTAAATACTCAACACTTTATAATAAGATATTATTAAAGACACATTTACACAACAGTACAGGGTCATGCACTCAAAACACTAAAACATGTGTGCACATGCGTGTGCGTGTGTGTGTGTGTGTGTGTGTGTGTGTAGAAATGTTGCAAATGTATAACCGACATGATCTGACCTTTACATTATTGCACTTATGGCACCGTGTCAACAGGACTCCAGCAAAGAGGTATGGAGTCATTTTAATGCCACGGGCTTCCAGTGTGTAAAATCCTTCATATAAACCAGATACAGCCCAACTGGAGAGAGACGAGAGCAACAACATGATTCCATTATTCCACCTAAGCAGCAATCACGTGACGAGCGGATCTGATGGTTTTATGTACAACAGCAAGCAAACTGTTTTGAACATCCATCCCAACCCCATCACAGCAACATTATAAAGTCCCAAAGGAGAAATCTGATCTTTGCAGTAAGCTTTGATTATCAAGGGAACTAAAACAGCTTAAACCCTTTGCTAAATATAGAAAAGTGACACACCGGTCAGGAAAAAACTTAAAGGGTCAGGAGAAGAATTACATCTTCTCAGTCAGAAGTGTTTGGTCACTCAGGAGATAGACGCCAAATCCTGGTCGGGCAGACCCGCTGCTCCACTCTGGTTTGTGTTCTTTATAAAATTCAACCAGACTGTAGCGGGATCATATCTACTACAGGTCAGTCTGAGTGTCAGTGTTTCCACCTGAAAAGCTGATTGTTTACAGTGTTTTAAAACGTCTAACTCTGATTTAACCCCTTATGAAGCGGGGTCAAATGGCTGTAATGCTATTAGTTATGTACGAGGACCGGCGCGTCTAGCATCACAAACAGTAGAAAAACACGGGGCTTTGCTCAGGTCAGGTATGGTCCGTGTGCCCTGAAGCTAACACAGCGTGGACGGTCTGAGATTAAAGACTTACTGCTGACAGAACTACAAATCTCACCATAAACGGAGAAGGGCGTGATGCCGCCATTAGCGGCTAGCTCTGATGAAGATCGCAGGAGTGACCCAAATTGTCAGCAAGGTAAAAAGAAAAAAAAAACTTTCATGTGTTTAAAAAATAACTTAAAAATGCAATCAGATGAAAAACAGAATGAATATACAAAAGATACAAATATCACAGTTTACATAAGTTAACACACAACGTGTTTTTGGTTCACAGTTTAGAGTTTAAAAAGGTACAAAATGGTGCTGCATGGGGCGTACTTGGTACAACTGATGCCTGGCGGTGGCGAGGTCACAGGTTCAAATCCTGGCTGCAGTGTCTTCCTGTACAGAGTTAGCATGTTCTCCTGGTGCATGTGTGGGTTTTTCTGGGTGCTACGGTTTCTTCCCACAGACAAAAACACACTTAGGTTAATTGGAGAAATCAGTGGTCTCCAAAATGAGGTCCCTGGACCACTGAAGGTCGGTGAGCCATCATTTGGGGGTCCACATTACACCTCGAGGGACCTGAGGACACACTGCATGTGTGTGGGGTTGAGCTAATTAGCATGAAAGGCAAATATTTAGGTAGCCCACCTAATCTAAAAACAAAAAAGCCAAACCAGGGTAAGTAGGAAACTATGACAACAGTTGTCTCCTCTTTAGTCTGTGTCTAATAAACCTACCATCTAAAAACATGATCAGGATTGGGAATTATTAACAGGATGCTGTGGGAACGAGTGGTCCTTCATGAGCTATAATCTGAGGACAACAATTTAAAACAAAACAAGAGCAGGTTTTCTACCAGCACAAGGAAGTTGACTGAGGAGGGGAGTGCAGGTGAGACAAGTGGGCTGAATCAGGCAGAGAGACTTGGCTGGGAACCGCGGTGGTGTGAGAATAACAATAAAGCAGACGTGGCATGAATCCCTTTTCCTTGAAAGCTCCCCACCTGATGACTTGAATGTAGAAACAGTTCATTACTCATGTAAGTGAGTCTGCCCTCAGCTTGGCCTGTTTGAGAAGAAAACTGACAAGAGAACTAATGTGTGTCTGAAAAGAATGAACCAAAGTGTCCCACGGGCATCTTAAAGCCTTACTTTGTAACTTTTTCATATTTCTGAATCATTTTCTTGAGCCAGTATGTGCAAAATGACCCTTTACAGGGTTAATGAAAGGTCACTCAAACCCCCACCGCTCTCCCTGAACAGAAGACCGCATTTGCAACTTCAGACTGGCGGCAGCTCTGTTGGGACTTAGAAAAAAATGGAGCTGACATACCAGGCGCTGCAGTCTGGTCCCATCATGTTTCCTGCACGTTTTGGATCCTGAACACGGCTGATTTGTTTCATTTAGTGACGAATCACTCCTGTAGACATTAAGGAAGGCTGGGAGACATTTCAGCTGTTAGATTAAATTAAAGTTAAAACGACAACAGTAAGCGAGGAAATGGGCTTTGGTTTGACAAGAGAGGATTAATAATGGAAACTAGGGGATGCTAAAGCAAGCAAAACTGCCAAGTATGCCTTAAAAACGTCTACAAAATTATAAACAGAGCACTTCTGTCTTCGAGCTAAACTCAAGATCTAAGACTTCTATGTACACAAGAGGCCTCTTCCTCTCCAAATCTGTCTGAAATTTGGGTCAGTGAGAACTTCTCCCTTGATGAGATAATCCATCCATCTCACAGGTGTGGTGCTGATTAGACAGTATGACTATTGCACAGTGTGCCCTGGGCTGGCCACAATAAAAGGCCACCCTTTAATGTGCAGTTGTGGCATTGTGCACAATGCCACAGGTGCAGAAGGTCCATGCTGACTGCAGGAATGTCCACCAGAGCTGCCGTCCATGAATAAATGTCCATGTTGCTACCATAAGCTGTCTATAAAAGGGTTTCAGAGAAATTACCAGTACAACCAACTGTGTCACCATGCAGTTCAATGTCACACTACCGCTGTGTGTGTGTGTGTGTTTCAGAGGAAGTTGAGTTTGTCTGAGTTGTAAACATCACAGTGAGGAGAGTCGGAGTGCAGCAGGGAATCTGTGCTCATCCCTTTCACTTCGAACCGAGGCTCGTAGTCCAAGCCTGGAGGAACAGCTGGTGGGTCTAGCCGCTCTGCTGGAGCCGAAACCTGGTAGAAAAACACGTCCCAGTATATTTCTGAAGCTTATAATGTTAAACAAGGTTACCGGCTTTACAGCTGATTTATAAAAAACACATTTATGGGATAAAAGGCCAAGAGTTTAATGTCAAAAACTGTTTGATAAAGTTATTTTAGCCTACAGACATTTATTAAAACATGGAGACTCGGGTGGAAGCTGAAGACAAAACTATACGAACACTCTCTATTAGCTGGACTGAGACAGAAATGGATCCTAAACTAAAGTTGGCTCAGCCACACATCCTTAGAGCTCACACTCTGGCTCCAAACATACGCAGCAGCTCCTGTAGGTGGGTTATTACGGCTTCAGTGTTGCATGATGGGTAATTAACAGAGATGCTTCATCTATATTTCACTTTGGTTTTTGGTTATGCTGAATTCAGCGTCTTATTCTGAGATAAAGCAGGAAGCAGGTTAGAAGGGGTCTAAGCGCCACCATCCTAGAAATAAAGCATTACAGAATTAGTTCTACCAATTTATCCTTAATTAAAACAATACAAACTAAGTTAAGAACAACTATCTATAATTAATTACTTGTGTAATAAGGTAATTCATTATATGTTTAAACCGTGGATCATTTAATTGATTGTAAATTCTTGTGTGCATGATTTCTACAATAAATCCTTAAATAATTAATCTATATTAATACTAATTTGCTCCCCTCCACAGTCCAGACTCCGATCTCTATTCAGTGCTGCTCATCGTTATTTATTTGTATAAAATATTTAGCTTTTTCAGTAAAACTTTAGATTTATGTTCTATGTGTTCAGTTAGGTCTAAAATATTGTCACTCTCTGACACTACGTACAGCACCACCTGCACAGACCTCATGGACGTAATTTGGGGGGGGGGGGGGGGGACAGGGGACCCCCCCCCCCCCCCCCATACACACACACTTTTTCCAAAGTCAAGTTTTGACCCCTGCACTTTTTAACCATCCAAAAACAATATTACGCTATATTAAATTGACACTGGTTGAGCTCTAGGACCAAGCAGAAAAGCTTGTTTCCCATTAGAGTATACTGTAAAGACCCCCCCCCCCCCCCACACACACACACACACACCCCACACCCCCGTGTCCCCCCCACTTCTAAAGTGAAAATTACATCCATGACAGACCTTACAACAAGGCTTTGGCTATTTTAATAAATGCATATGAATATTCTCATGTATAATAATAATAATAGACAATTTACAAAAGTGATCAAAATTCTGTTTGTACTTAAAACAAAACTATCTAAATTAAGTCAACAGGAGACATGAAGACTGCCATTGGTATTAACTACCGTACATTTCAAAATAATATCCGATTACATAACATTTGGTTTTTATCAATTATTTATTTTATAATTGAATTTCTTTAGCAACTCAAATAATCAGCTAGACAGCAGGGGAGGAGATTTGAGCGTTCACATTGAAATTAGCAGTTTCTTGTTTGTTTTTTTTTACCTCTGAATCAGCAGGAAGTAGATTCATAGTAGGAGGATTGTGTATCTGCAGAGTGAAACCAAGTGCATTAGCAAAGAGCAGGAAATAGAAAAGCTTCTGGATCAATGAAATACGACACACACTAACCAGCAGGCTGGTGGGCGCATCATTCGGCTGAACCGGGTAGGCAGTCTCTGTGGGCTTGGTGGGATGGGTTGGCCTCCCTCCGACAGGCTCGTGGTCATACTGCAGATTCAATAAAACACATGAGCTTGTTTTAAAGATCGCACAAGAACATAAACCGGTAAGCAGCTTCAGCAGAGAGCAAGCCCACCTCCTGGTAATAAACAGCAGGTCCACCATCATCATCATCAGCTGCAGCTTCAGGCTCTGAAGGGTTCTTTGCTGTGGAGCTGTTTCCACAGCAACAGCTCTTCATGCACCAGAACAAAACAGAAAGGACGACAGCACTTCCAATGGGAATGAAGGCAGAGGAGGTAAACCACAAAGCTGGAACAGGAAGTTCAGATTTCAGTCAGCTAATATTCTTGTTTTCTATATTTTGTTAATGTTTCATATGTGTTTTTATAGGAGAACTAATTATGGGATGAAATTGGTGCCAAAAAATAAAAATAGACAGAAAATTTCAGTCTCACACAAAATTACTCGAATAAAGCAACCAGAATGATCATTTCAGGGTGAAAAGTGTGAATTTTATAAGCAATAAATAAATAAATACAACAAAACCTCTACATTCAAAATGAACTAATCCATCCATTTCCTGCCACTTATCCAGGGTCGGGTCATGGGAGCAGTAGCCTAAGCAGGGAGGCCCAGACTTCCCTCTCCCCAGCCACTTGGACCAGCTCCTCTGGGGGAATCCCAAGGTGTTCCCTTAAGCCAAGAGACATCGTCCCTCCAGCGTGTCCTGGGTCTTCCTTTAGGTCTTCTGCTGGTTGGACGTGCCAAGAAAACCTCACCAGAGAGGCGTCCAGAAGGCATCCTAACTAGATTCCTCAGCCACCTCAACTGGCTCCTCTCAATGTGGAGGAGCAGCGGATCTACTCCGAGCCCCTCCCGGATGACCGAGCTTCTCACCCTATCTCTAAGGGAGAGCCCAGCCACTCTGCGGAGAAAACTCATTTTGACCACTTGTATCAGCAATCTCATTAATTCGGTCACTACCCAAATCTCATGACCATAGATCGACCGGTAAATTGTGAACTTTGCCTTCTGACTCAGCTCTCTCTTCACCACAACAGATTGGTACAACGCCCGCATCACTGCAGACGCAGCACCAGTCTGCCTAACAATCTCACGCAATTAACTAATTCGTAATTACATATATTTCAAAATGAAATATTTATTTTTACTTAAAGAGCAAGTCACCCCCAAATCTATTTCTTTTTTGCTGATAAACTATATAAATGAGCGTCTAACCATGCTGTAGACACATGCAGTCAATAATTTGGCACTTTAGTGCATCTTAGTTAAAATTTAAATATTCTGCCTAAAAGTGTTGATGTTGCACAGTTGTCAGTTAAAAACTCTGCACTGCATTTAAATTTAATCTGCCACCGCTATAGGCCAAGAAGTACACTATGATGTCAGCTGGTACATTATGAGGTCACAATGTTGTTGTGAGCCTCTGTCTGTGTGTGTGTGTGTGTGTGTGTGTGTGTGTGTGTGTGTGTGTTAGTGGCTTCGCCCTTTCGGTCTGCCAGGCAACAGCATTTTTTGCATTTTTCAAAGAGGAAGTGGGAGTGGGGTACGACTCTGGTAGGGGGTGACTTGCTCTTTAACCATTATTATTTTATTTCTTTGACACTTTTTTGTTCTTGTTTAATTTTGAATAAATTAGATTATTTAGACTTTTATCCTGAAGGGCACGTTTTGGTTTTGCCAACAGTTCGTTGCTTTTGCAGCATCTCAATTTTGCTGCTTCTTTTGAAAGAAAGTCCCAGTGGAAGGGGCTGACTGGTGCTTCCATCTCACTGGCTGTGAGAGTTTGGAGCGAGTGGCTCGAGCCACTTCCCAACTTCCACTCAGACTTTGCTTTATTCAGGTGTATTTTGTGTGAGACGGTTTTTTCTGGTTAATCCATTTGGCACAAATCTTTACAGACACGTTATGTTTATTAAACAGCAGATTAAACAAAAGAAGTGCAACATAAAGGCTACTCACATTCCACTTTCAGCGACAACTCCAAGGAGGTGTCACCGTTATGATCCTTCACTTCAAACAGTCCTTTGCAGGACGTCTGGACAGCCTCGTTTGAGATCCCACAGGGCTTTAGAAGCTCAAACCCGGGGCAGTAAGACGAACCCTGAAGCAGTTTTCCCTGATGAACTAGTTCCGTCTCACGACCTCCTTCTGGGATGAAATAAATGTTGCAGGAGTTCGACTCCAGGTCTGAAGTGAAGCGGAGTTTTTCACCAGGGATCAGCTCAAGGGCCTGTGTCTTAGCTGGTAGAGACGACAATAAATAAGTGGATGTTCACGCACATTTAATCTGCACACCAAAGTATCTGTAATACACTACTGACATACAACAAAGAACAAATGGTAAATAAAGACAATTGTAGAAAGATACACACCAATGACCTCGATGGTTTTTGTTGACAGAGACATCCCATTTTTGTCCCTCAAGACGTAGCTCCCACTGTCCCTCTGGGTCACATTGTATATCAGATAGTAGTAGCCAATCATCTTCCTCCTGCTGTCCTCACTGGGTTCAGGGTCCTCCTGTCTCCACAGGACCACATGCTTCGAGCTGTATTTGGGCATGAACTCAATGGACTGAGTCTTTCTTTCTATCCTCATCTTATGTGTGTTCCCATATGTTTCTTCATCATAACTGTTCAGTGAAAGGACTAAAGACCAGAAAAAAGAAAACGCATTTATTCCAGCAACACCCAAAGCCATAATAGAAAACAATTTACACCTAATTACTTAATTTATTGGACATGTTAAAGCTTCAATAGCAAATATACAAAACTAATTAGCTTCAAACATTTTTTCTTGCCACTTAACAGCATAGTATAGCTATGATCTGATATTGCAGAGATAAAATAATAATAATACTAATAATAATAATAATAGTGGTTGTCTAAAACCTCAGCCAATAACATGGCTTTCTCACCAGACCACCCACTTCCACACTTCCCTGGGTCCTCCTCTCATCACGCACTCATGTATTTAGCAACAGAGCACCACTGGTGTTAGAGGTTCTCCGCTCAATAATATCAGAGAAGGAGAAACAGCCGGCTGCTACCGCTTCAACTTCAGGACAAACTACCAGAGTACCAAAAAGAAAAACACCATTTGAAGTCAGACAACAGAAGATGTTTGGACCTAAAGAACAGAAACTGGTGTTTAGCGCACTTTTGTTTCCTCTGGCAACGCAGGTTCCAGAATCCGGTTGACATGGCCTGGGGATGTAGCCGATGGGAGGCGTGAGTGTTCTGTGGCCGTGTTTGTGTTTTAAGCTAGCTTGTTTTGCACTTTAAAGCTATTACCAGAGGCTCATTGAGGCCACGTGTTTCACAGACTACATTTACACCGCAGATCTTCTGATCTTTTTGAGTATTTGGTCATTTTTATAATTATAATGTAACTGCCAGTAGCCTCTAGTATGAACAGTGCAGACTAGGGGTGTTTATTTGCAAGAATCCAATGATAGATCAACACAGGGAGATGATACGACATACCGTAATACAATGTTTGCAATTTTAAGACTAAAGTTAATTAGAAAACTTAGGCCAGATGCTTCAAAGACACACAGTGAGATCTCACTGTTTGGTCAGAATGAAGGTGATAAAAACTGCTGCCACCTAGCAGTCAGAGTTTGAATTGCACCAAATAAAAAACAATAAATGTAAATTCCTAATTTAAAAAATCAATAAACTGCTTTTACATATAAATTCGGTATAATACGAGTTACTGTGATATTTTAGTGTATAGTGTGGACACTGCAGACAGTAAGAGACATGCATGTGCAGCACTTTGTTTGTATTTACATATACTACACATTTGCACTGAACTGAGCTGCATATTCTGAGATATTCTGCATATTTGATTTTTTATGTATGTGTGATTTACTCTTTTTTTGAGGGTAACTATTTAATTATTTATTTTGCATGTCCAGATAAAGGCACACACACACACACACACACACACACACACACACACACACACACACACACACACACATACATACACACACACAAAACCTTGACAGAATTGTGTACAGGCTACTGCAGTGATACTCACTCCTGGTCCTGGAGAGCAGGTATCCAGCATGTTTCTGTTTTAACTGCTTCAACACACCTGATTTCAATCAGCAGGCTGCAGAGTTTGATGAGCTGCTTAACAGGTGAATCAACCACTAAATTAGGTGTGTTGGAGCAGAGAAACAATGAAAACATGCTGGATACCTGCTCTCCAGGACCAGGAGTGAGTACCACTGGTATACAGAGTTGTAGGGATAAAAATACACTTTAATTTACATAGTCATCCTTTAATTTACATGTTAATCTCAAACTGTGTGTGGTGCGTTATTAAAAAAAACACTAATTAGTAAATGATAAAGCTGCAATGTTAATTTAAAGATTGTATCAAAATAGCAAAACAGCAGCATGGCTGAGAACAGACACTTTTACTCACCAACAGAAAGACAGACAGAGAGCAACAGCAGCATCCTGAGTCCAGGAAAAATCAGAGATTAGTGCATCACGATTTTATTTCTGTCTAACTTAATACCCGCTCAGTGTGAGAGGAATACGCATCAAAACAACCCAGGCCACGTTAGTGGAGGAAAAAGATGCCATATTCACGTAAACATCTCAGAAAAGATGCTAGCTCAGCTAATCCAAGAGGGCGTCTCCTTTAAGGATATGGGTGGTGCGTTCAGGGATGCCACGGAAATTAACGTCGCAGAAAAAAACTCAGAAAAGGAGTCTGTGAAATGGATGGACTAGATTGATAATTACAGTCATAAGGTCTTTATTTTGAAAATTGCAGGGTTAACAATGTCAGGTTAGTATATATATATATATATATATATATATATATATATATATATATATATATATATATATATATATATATATATATATATATATATATATATATATATATATATATATATATATATATATATATATATATATATATATATATATACATACATACATACATACACATATATATATATATATATATATATATATATATATATATATATATATATATATATATATATATATATATAGGTCTCAGAAAAACAAACATCAGACAGTAGAGAGGAAAAGAGCCTCCAGTTTCATACGAAGAAGACTAAGAGTTTTTATATAATGCCTGTCTAGATAAAAATCATGAGGCGCTTCACAAGAACAATGAAAATTTAAAAAATCATGACAAAATTTTTTTTAATAAAGATAAAAACTGAAGAGAAACAAGAAATATACCAAAGCCAACTTGAACAGGTGAGTTTAGTCCCCTTTTGGAATGTTAATATCAACATCGGCTCATGCTTTCAGAGCCAGTAGAGATCAGAGTAGGTTACTGCGGACACAGCCTGCTCACCCGACCTTGCTCACTTTAGAATCTGCAGAAATAAAGTTATGGAGTTCTGACTGAAACACTTAATATTGGTAAAATTTAAACCAATTAATGAACAGATTTATTGCTGAACGCATCAAATAGTAAATTTTGTACATGACCACATATTTCATTTATTGTAGGACAGGCAGTATGATATTGTGTACATTTCATAACTTGGATTTCATAAAACATGATGAAGTTCAAAAATCTTTGTTACACACCTAGATTTATTTTATAAATGGGGTTTAAATGTTGAAGATTCAATTGTTTTGTTGATTCAATTGTTGAGCAAAACCTTGCTGTCTCTTTATCATAACCCAAACAGAAGGAGACTGCTGGAGACTGCTAGGCGACCTGACCTCTTCAGACACACAGAGGTCAGTGGAGCCTGACATTTTTCCAAAGTAAGATAATTAGCTGATTTCTCTTGATAATCTCCTTACTATCTGACGCTTGTGCGTCTGTTGAATGCCAAGAAAGCCTTGACAATAAGAGTACTTACACTATCATTAGAAATAAGATATTATTACTGTGGGATGTCCTAAACTTTCAATAGTGCTGATTGTGCCTTTTTAATTTTTCATCTGTAAATGACCTGGTTCGCTCCCTTGAGCAGATTCTTACATACTATTATTAATCAATTAATATCATTAGAGGTTATCCAATATAATCAGAAACATTGGAGATAGATAGGTTTCTATCCTTTAAGCTGTTCTCATATGGCATTAGATTTCTTAAAGGTCAGACTCCCACTTGAACCCTGTGTTTTGCCCGTTTGTGACGTTGAAACTTTTCTGACAAATGAGTCTTATACACAATTCTCCTCATTTAAGTTTAAAGCTATCTTAAACTTTGATTTGTGTTCATGATTTCAGTATGATGAGTTACTTCTATATGAAGATGTTAAATTAACTGAACAGTTGACGAATCTAGTTCCTTGAAGTTATGAAAAGTTCTCTACCTTGTGTTATCCATCTATTTCTGATCTAGATTAACTGTTGATGTGATTAATATTGAACTCCTTCCTAGTAGATTAGTGAATATTTTCTGTTATTTTTGCTAACTCTTTATTTTGCCCCTACTTTTGAGCAGATCAGCTCCCACTTTCTTATCACCTTCTTAATTCAACAAAGAGAGAGCAGCCCTCGCCCTTGACTCATCATCATTGTTTTAGTATTTGCTGGACGAGCATTATACGCTGACAAGACCCTTAGATTTGAACAGTAGCATGATGGCCTAACAAATATTCTTTGATGGTCACATTATGTTATGAATAACCTATTTCATGTTCATCTAGTAGTTTTTGAAGAATTTCTTGCTGTTTTCTAAATATAAATAATGTAATTGTTATTCCTCTGCTTGACCTTCAAACTACATTATAGCTCTTCCTCAGAGCGTTTACAAATTACAAATTACTTATCTTGCTTAGAACGTCTTTTACTTTCCTCAAACTATTATCATCTTTGCAAACACTTTTAGGGTGTGTGTACCTAAGAACACCATCAGTTGTTTTTTTGTTGTTGTTTTTTTGCACGTTCACTGTCTCTATGTGACAAATGAGTTTTATGCTCCTTACGTAAATCTGTTGTTCAATTTCACTTACAGATTTTTAATTTAGCAGTATTTATCTCCTGTTGACAAATTCTACGCATTATTTGAGTGACATTATTGAGTGACATTGTACTTTACTGAATCTATGTGAAGTGGAAAATTATTTTTATAATTAGGACTGGTTTCGTTGTTAGTTAACTCCAGTGTTAGCAGCAAAGAGATAAAGTTATAAAGTCACTTGGTCTTGGACATATTCCCTAATTTAGCTCTGATGATGTGAATATAGGTGAAAGTTTCTGGCATAATGAGAGCAAACGCATAGAGTTTATGACATTATTATTTTGTGATATGAGCTTGGGGATGATGCCAAGCTCACTCTTTTTTCCCCCAGATGGGTTGATTCTTTTTGATTTCATTAGATTAGTCTTCTGCAACAGCTCTTCCACTGCGATTTCTCCTGTTACTTCTAGGAGATGTAAATCACTTTTTGTGTTTATTTTCCATTTTCTTTACAATGATTATGGCTTTTTTGTTAGTTGTCTTGTTTTGTTTTGTTGTTTTATGCACACTGTGCTGCACGACTCTTCCCCCTGCTGATGTAAACTGGTAATTGCACGTTCCTTGGGATGGGTATTAGAGCCCTGCACGGGCCTAAAATCTGAGCCCGGGTCCGGCCCGGCCCGAGGGGGTGGAGCCCCAGCCCGACCCGGTCCGAAAAGGTTTTCAGGATTCTCTGGCCCGACCCGAGCCCGACTTTTTTTAACCAACTAAATGAAAACAAAGTGTGTCAATCCTGACCAATGTGTTAAAAGACGTGCAGGATCCGATCAATTTGTTTTTCCCTCATTTACCGTCACAGAGATGACGGTGCACTGGCTCTGGTGGTAATCAAGTTAAATTTTATCTCTTTCCAACAATTTTCACAAGAAAACAGAACAGTTAAAAGCAGGGCTTGTGTTGTGTTGACCGGACAGTTCCCGTATTTGACCGTTTATTTTGACGGAGAAAGAATAGAAAGAATTACCCCGATGCATGCAGGCGAACTGACATTTTATTCTACGCACATCGCAAATGTAGCTAAATCACCCAAGAAAAGATTCCCATCTGAACATCTGAGCTGGACATTGCTCAGCGCAGCTCGCTGTCAGCGCATATGTGAACAGCGAGCTGAAGTTGTGGAGATTGGCTTGGAGCGCGTCGCAGAACCAGAGCGCATGCGGGAAGATTCCTCCGACTGAAGCGAGTGTTTTCCAAACCCTGTCTCTCAGAGAGACTTGTCACTTAGAAAATGTTCCCTGATTATGAAACTTTGGCTGAATAGTGCTTGTTCCTGTCGCCAATGTGGCAACACATCCAGGAGCTGTCTGAGGAGAAGCCCAGAATCTCACATCCTCTTCAGCTCATATAAGCGTATATGATTACGCACAAGCGTGACCCATCAACCCGCAGTAAGACCGGGGTTGGAACTGTTCAGGTTTACACAGACAATCTTTACATTTAGAATTGACTTACAGATATAAAATTAATTCAGTAAAATATAAAGCTTTTTATTTAAATATCCATTCATTATTTTACAAGCACAGAGAGCCGCATCAGATTCAGATCAGCGGGAATATTCCTCCGACTGAATTCAGTCGGAAGAATCTTCCCGCTTGCGCTCTGGTTCTGCGACACGCTCCAAGCCCCTCTCCACATCTTCAGCTCGCTGTGTACCTTATGTACTGTCTGAGGGTAGGCCCCACCCACAACGCCGCAGCTGCTGTGGCTCCCAGTGTTTTCTTTACTGTGGGAAATGGGTAATAATGGCTCTTTGATGGGAACAGGTTGCCGACCCCTGGTTTAAGTGTTTCAATTTTTTTTATTAATTCAATTAAAAATAAAGGCGCCCGGCCCGGCCCGTGTCCGAGGTAATTGCACAGTCGTTGGCCCGAAGCCCGGCCGTCGGGCCGGGCCGACCCGAGGGCCTAGGGCTTCAGTGCAGGGCTCTACTGGGTATTTTTCACGAG